ATTTGCATAGTGATTAACTTTTGTGGAACTCTAGACGATCGAGTCAGTGATTAGCATGAGCATTCTTGATTTCCTTGAGGATTCGGGCATATATCCAGTTTTTTCCCTGGTCGTCCTCATATCCGTTTTAACATTAGATATCGAGCACAACATTACTCGCATGGCAGCATTTACATACAGATATAGTATGGTATTATACTATTTTGTAGTGGTATTATTAGATGAATGTAGTAACTGGCGCCTCTTACACTAAACGTTTGGAATTTACTACCGAATATTTCTTTCAGTGTTGTCTTTCAATTTTCCCTGCTATATGCTGTGTCTTATTGCATATATTTTATGATGAAGAGGAGATTTGTTATGATAAAGGTGACAACACAGGATTGTGAGCGTTGTCTTGTAAAATCTCTGCGTTCAGCACAGCATTGCCAAGTCTCAACGTAGCCAAACATCAACATATTGCCTTTGATAAATATTTTAACAAGCTGGTTGCTCGAAAAAGCCACAATTAATAAATATAATATCATGCCTTCCTCCTGTAAGGTCGAATGAAATATTTAATTTGGAGAGATACAGTTTCATTCAACGGCAAGAATGTAACAACTTTTTGATAACTTCATTATTTATAATATGACAACCTTGCTTCATGAGTGGGGATGGAAGATTATCTGACCAATAAATTATGATTCGTTATGATATGGCGGACAAGTTTTGTAATTATGATCCGATTCTATTCACACTGCGTATCTGGGGGTTTTCGAGGTCGGAGATTATGATTCGCCATCTTGAATGAGGAATTCAAGATGGCGGCTTATGAAATGGCGGGTGAGTTTTGTGATTATGGTCAGGTTACATTCAAAATTGATATGTGGGGACTTATGCTGTCATCAGATATGTTTACAATATTTACAATATTGTTTTATGTCTTAGCTGTACCGCAAGGAAAAAAAAAGAATTTGTTGGATCAATAAATTAATTATGCTTCAATTATTTTTATTGGACAGAGCAATTTCTTGTTGAATCAAACTGAAACATGATTAAAGGGTTAGAAAACACCAAATTATCTCCACAACGTTCAATAATCGAAGGATTATTTAGGGGAATATGTTTCGGACAGTCATGTGTCCATCATCAGCCTTACTCCTTACAAACCAAAGGTCCTATAATATGATACAAGTAAATCATGAAAAATATATGAAATAGTGAATTTACTCACTTTGAGGTCTCATATTCAAAGGAGCGTAGCTCGTAGGAAGTATTTCCGGATCCTTATTAACAAGAACGTCTTGCCTTATTTTCAGGCAAGTATAACACCCCTGAAAGGGTGCCGCTTACTTCTGAATCACCCCGTATTTTGTCGTGCATATATATCATTGGATCTTTCTTTTATTTGATTCAGACCAGGGAAGAGTCCATTTTGTCCTGATATCTATTATGAAACAAAATAAAAATACTATTGAAGTTTGATGCCAACAGCCCTTCTGTCCCAAATAAGTTTCAGAAATACATTCTGAGAATTGAAAGAGATCGAACGGAGTAAATAAATATTAAAAACTTGAGAATAGTGAAGGACCCCGCACTAAACTATAGGGAAAGTGGCTCTCGATGAAAATCGCTAAATTGTTGGTATGCTGCAGACTTTGATATACTGAACAGATCTTCCATTGAACTAACCTCAAAAAATGGACAGTTTTTTCGATATTGACCTCCAAATGTCATTTTTTCGAGAAAAAAAAGTATCTGAAAATGGTTGAATTTTTGGCATGTTGTAGATAGGAATGAACTGATGAAAAAATCCGATTGACCTAACCTCCAAAAATTGTCAGTTTTTTCGACATCGACCTCCAAATGCAATTTTTTCAAGAGAAAAAAACTGAAAATGACTGAATTTCTGGGATGTTGTAGATTGGAATGAACTGATGAAAGAATCCAACTGACCTAACCTCAAAAAATTTACAGTTTTTGTTCACTGTCGCAAACAGTTTTTTCTTCAGATCTCTTCACATATTGTAAATAATAATTATTGAAATATATTTGGTATTATTTTAGATAATGAATAAGTCTATCAAAAACTGTTATCATAGATGGATAGATATATGGCGTGAATTCGACTACTGTGTATACCTACAACCCCATCGATTTCGGAAAGACTATAACCATCTTTCAAATAATATTCATTTCATTACATCCTCTCTTCGGTTTTCTGCGTTTTCTGCACCTGTGGATTTATCATATGAAGAAGTTTTGTTTCATAAGAATGAAATGCCAAATACTAATTCGAAAACAGCAACTTTGTCTATTGATTATTGTTCCATTCATCTTATTTTCCATACGTTTACTTGGAGGTCAATATCGAAAAACTGTCAAGTTTTTGAGATTAGGTCAATTGGATTTTTTGATCAGTTCATTTCTATCTACAACATACCAGAAATTCAGCCATTTTCAGAGATTTTTTACTCGAAAAAATTACATATTTGAAGGTCAATATCGAGAAAACTGTCAATTTTTGGAGGTTAGGTCAATTGGATTTCTTCATCAGTTCATTCCTATCTACATGCCAGAAATTCAACCTTTTTCAGATACTTTTTTTTTTTTAGAAAAAATGGAATTTGGAGGTCTATATCGAAAAAACTGTCCATTTTTTGAGGTTAGTTCAATGGAAGATCTGTTCAGTATATCAAAGTCTGCAACATACCAAAAATTCATCGATTTTCATCGAGAGCCATTTTCCCTATAGTTTAGTGCGGGGTCCTTTGGTCATAATGTCGATATTTTCTCTAATTTATGGACAATCTCGGTCTCTTGAACTTTGATTGATCACCTGGGTCATAATCAACTGCATTTCGAGGAAGCTGATTCTCATGAACCTCAGCTTTTTCGAGAGTCTTAATGTTTCGTTTTCTAATGACTGACACGATTGAAGGGAGTTTCAGATCCCTAGCGATCTGGTTATTCCAAGAAGATACTGTCTCGCGATTTTGTTTTGTAATGTTTGTAATCTGGTGATATGAGATTTAACTATGTGGCCCCAGACTACTGAGGCATACAGTAAAATTGGCCTGATGGCCATGATATAAATATTCAATTTTTGTCTCAAACCCAATTTACTTCGCCTGTTTAGAAATGGATACAGGGCTCCGATGGCTCGTTTTGCTTTTGAAACTTGCTGTTCAATGTGCTGGGCCAAGGTGAGCTTTTTGTCAATGCACACACCTAAGTAAACTACTTACCAGATGAAGTGGGACAGCCAAAAAATTGTCTGATTTTGATAAGCTATAACTCGAGAGTTTCTTGGCCGATATTTGATTTTCAACCAAAGGTAGAAAGCGTCATCCTTGGGCTATGCATCATTAGCGTCGGGTTTTTATTTTTGTGATTCGTTCTCTTTGTACAGAGTGTGAATTAAGAGCCGGAAAATTTCAAATGTTTGACCAATAATTTGGGAAATGTGGGGGCCCCTAGAATTCTTTTTCCTACCTCGAGACATCTCTGAAATTTTTTGGATTAATTGCGTTGCTATGGAAAAATCGACATTTTATAAAATTTCATTTTTAATTCGAGAAATGGCCTCTTTTAGTTAAACAATAACAGCCAACATCTGAACTGGAGCAAGGGATATTTCTACTGAAGATAATTAACACCAGTGCCGCGCAAAAAGGGGTTAATGATATTTAGAGACGAAAAATTCGTTTGTATTGAAAAAATCCAGCAGTTTTATTGATCGTTACAGTTGAAGAGGTGTCATATCCTTAATTAGCAAGTTGTTGACAAATTCAGAGGCGCCCATGATATTTAGAAATGACAAAAACGTTCTTATTAAAAAAAAACAACAGTTTCATTGATCGTCACAGGTAAAAAGTTGCCATACATTCAATCAGCATGATGTTGACAAATTCAGAGGTGTGCAAAATTGGAAAATCAGAATTTCAGTCTCATTATCATTGTTTTTTTACTTATCCAAGGTGAGCATCCAAGTAATCCATTGGCGTATTGAAGAGGATCCATCATCAAGGCGATACAAAAAGTTGGATATTGAAACATTTTTAATAATTTTATCAAGTGTTGTTCTTTGTTCCCCAGTGAAAATTTTCTAATATCATTATTCATGAATGAAAATTCAGGAACGTAATTCTGGCTTCTGATTTTTCCGAGCCGTACAATTTGATAATTCTGTCAGAAAAAAATTCAAAAAAACCTTGTTGATGTTTTTGTCGTTTCTAAATATCATAAACTCCTTTTTGCGCACCACTGAATTTGTCAACATCACGCTAATCAAGGATATGACACCTCTTCAACTGTAACGATCAATAAAACTGTTGAAGTCTTTCAATAAAAACGATCTTTTCGTTTCAAAATATCATAAACCCCTTTTTGCGCGGCACTGGTGTTAATAATCTTCAGTAAAAATATCCCTTGTTGCAGTTCAGATGTTGGCTATTATTGTTTAACTAAAAGAGGCCACATTTTAAATCAAAAATGAAATTTCATAAAATGGCGATTTTTCCATAGCATCGCAATTAATTCAAAAAATTTCAAAGGCGTCTTGAGGTATCGGACCAACTATTCACCCAACATCTGAGACAGAATTCTAGGATCCCTCACATTTCCCAAATCATTGGTCAAACATTTGAAATTTTTCCGGCTCTTAATTCACACTCTGTACAAAGAGAACGAATCGCAAAAATAGAAACCCGACGCCAATGACGCATAGCCGAAGGATGTCGCTTTCTACCTTTGGTTGAAAATCCAACATCGGCCAAGAAATGTTCGAGTTATAGCTTATCAAAATTAGACAATTTTTTGGCTGCCCCACTTCATCTGGTAAGTAGTTTATTTAACTTGTGAAGACCACTCTAACTCATGACCATCCAGGACTATTCTGATTGTCGTGCGAATAAAGTTTGTTTGATTCGATATAGGGTGTCTTTGTGTAGTGCATTTTTATGAAAGATCGTCTTTAAGAATACTTTTTATAAAAACTTGTTTCCGCTTGATTTCAGTGCGACGAGACGTTGTCGACTGGCGACATCTGCGTGTTCGCGAGCCGAGCCGGCCCGAACACGTGCTGGCACCCAGCCTGCTTCGCGTGCTCCGTCTGCAGAGAGCTGCTGGTCGATCTCATCTACTTCTACAAGGACGGCAGGCTGTACTGCGGCAGGCACCATGCAGAGACAGTCAAGCCTAGGTGCTCGGCCTGCGACGAGGTAAGAAACTCGAATGGACAACCGAATCGTTGTTCCTGCTTCCTCTTATTTCATTTTTATTTCATTGTAATCTTAAAATTCTTAGATTTTTTTCTCAAAAATTCGAGATATACAGTCTGTCCAAGATAAGGTTGCACAGCATGGGGATCTCGGAAACGGTAGGAGATACGAAGTCGGTTAAATGGGGAAAAAGTTGCGCATTCGGAGGCTCATACCAACAGCCTTTGAAAATTTTCAAATTTTTTTTTAGTTTTTCAGTTATATCGAAAAAAGTGAATTTTTGGAATCTCTATTTTATTTTTTTTCTCCGTTATTATTGGAGATACAGAAAAACTGAAAATACTTTTTCATAGCAACTTTTGATGACGTTTAACGTGGTGATACCGATTTTTCTATGCGACGTTTCGTATTCGTAGAACCATCATCAACTTTTGTTTTTTAAATACGGCCCTGATAATTCTTTCACAAATTCAACCATGTATTATACAAGGTGGTTTGAATGTGTTTCGAACTATTTTTAGCCATCATCAATGTTTTTTTCGAGATTCCAAAGGAAAAATGCCATCAGTTTCACTTATTTCTGATTATTCAGTGTCAAACATTGATGGACTAGTTATTCAATACTGAAAAGTGAAGAAAAAATTCACTAAATTATTCAATGCAGCTTCGAATTGTTTATGAATTGTATTCATATTTTAATCCGAAGGAGCTTGTCATAATTGAATTTTTCGAAATAATTATTCCTATAAGTCTATCAATCGGAACTAGTTGATGAGGTATCAGTTTGTTGGCTAATTTTCCTTCAAAATAAGTGGAACTGATGGCATTTTTCCTCTGAAATTTCGAAAAAAACATTGATGATGGCTAAAAATAGTTCGAAACACATTCAAACCACCTTGTATAATACATGGTTGAATTCAGAATGAAAAAATCTTTCAGAATCTGTGAAAGAATTATCAGGGCCGTATTTAAAAAACAAAAGTTGATGATGGTTCTACGAATACGAAACATCGCATAGAAAAATCGGTATCACCACGTTAAACGTCATCAAAAGTTGCTATGAAAAAGTATTTTCAGTTTTCCTGTATCTCTAATAATAACGGAGAAAAAAAATAAAATTGAGATTCCAAAAATTAACTTTTTTAGATATAACTGAAAAACTAAAAGAAATTTTGAAAATTTTCGAAGGCTGTTGGTATGAGCCTCCGAATGCGCAACTTTTTCCCCATTTAACCGACTTCGTATCTCCTACCGTTTCCGAGATCCCCATGCTGTGCAACCTTATCTTGGACAGACTGTATATTCGAAATTTCGAGATTTTTTGTTATACTATCCGAGAGTAAGGGCGTAGATTCTGATAAAATGGAGAAATATGAAGCTTGAACTTTGCGAATCTTTAATCTCCTCGAAATTATCATCTTGCGACAGTATTGTATGGTATTGTTATATTATTCGGGTGCAGAAGCGAACACAAACACGGAAACTTTTCCAAAAGAAATCAGTAACCTTCTTCTTAGATTCTGTGATGAAATCAATCTGAGTTTCTACACTTCTAATTCAATATCACATATGTTCGTCAATAATAAAGATAAGATTCCTCTCCTCCATGAACCAGTTGTATATAAATTATCATGTTCAGATCCCAATTGCAATTCCCAGTACATTGGCCAGAGTGGTAGACGGATAGAAACCAGAATTAATGAGCATAATAAACTCATAGAAAAAGCAACAAATCCTCCTCTTTCAGATGAATATAATACTAGTAGTTCCTTTGCCAACCACATTCTCAACTCCAAACATAGTTTCAACATTGACAATAATTTGGAAATTTTACATGTATGCCAAAAAGGTCGTCTTTTAGATCTTCTAGAATTCTCTGAATGAACAAACCCATTTTGATTGCCTCAAATTTTTGAATTTATTAAAGTTCACTAAATAAAACCATCCCATTTAATTCTGTCTCACCTTGCTCTTTGTTGTAGGTTGGTGGTTTCAGGGCACGAGATCGTATTGTTTACCAATCTTGTTTTCCGTTTCCAATCTGACATAGTGTTTGTTCTTTGGTATTGTATGCTCACTGCTCAAATCATAATATTTAACTGATGTATCCTTTTGACATTTGACATTTCTGACTTCTGTCATGTCAATTTTTATGACCTTCAGTTTCACGCACATGTGATTCCTTCTCTTCAACAGCTTAATTCTGATACCTCATCAAACTTTTAGTTTGATTTTTCAAAGTTTAATTATCCCCTTTCGGTAATTCAAGGGCACGTGGGCCCTTGTAAAATATGAACTCGACCTGAAACGACATAAAGTTATATACAAATATACATAATTTTATATTATTTCACAGTGACAGTGAGCTTTTCAGGTCTCTTCACTTTCTCTCAAAATTCTAAGTCAATTGTGTTCCAGATCATGGAGCATATTTCCTTGTCTGCACTATTATTAACTATACTATTTGTATGCCTACTTTTTTCATTTCCATGTAAGTACTAAGTAATTTTTGCATCTATATCCTCAGACAACACTGATTTTTCTAAAACTGTAATATTTTCTATTGGCTGATGATGGGCTCACATAAGCCCGAAACATGTTTCTTTAAGGTTGATCTTTGATCATTCTAATGAATGTTGTGGAGATGACTTGGGTTCTCATCTATGAACACGACAGTATTTATTTTCGAACTGATTTATTTCGACTAAAGGAACACTAATTTATATCGAACTTATAACTACTACTATTATTCATTTAAAACGATTTATATCACGCGGTATATCACTGTCTCTCTGACACTCGCTGCTTGACTGCCTGACGGCAGCTGTCCGGCCGTCCTTATCAGATCCCTGGCCAGGCTTTGCTTCTCGAACGTCTTCGAATGATCTTCCGTAGGCTTATTTTGTTCTAGAAGCTTCTAGAACAATATATTTCCCTCTCTCTAATTGTTTTCCATCGATTGTTTCGAAATGATTCCAGATTCTTCTGTCAGGTTATGTGTCACCGTGACACATATTGAAAGTTCGGAAATACGATGGTACATGTAGGAATCATTGGGATGTTCGAGAGTGATCCAGGACGCATGTTACTAGGTGATCGTTGTACCCATGCCTTCCTGATGATGTTCTATAGTCCCTTTAAGGTGGATATCATTACAGTATAGAGAATAGAATTGTAAAGGTGTTGAACAAGTCATATTTTTTACACCTACTGTAAAATTGAAATGAATATGCCATATAAAATTGACTGTAAATCGACTAGAGGCTATTCCTGTCCAAAAACTCATTTACATTGTAGAAAGTGTCAGATATTAAGAATTCTCTAATTTGCATCTCCCTATAATATAGCTAAAACTATAACGAACTGAAATTTGTTTTTGGATGTATGATAAATTGATATTCACGTCCTGACGTGGAAAGAAGAAAAAACTATTTTCCGTCGACCTCGTTTTAACGACTATGTTTAATGTATATGAAATCGTTCATTAATGACCCCTATTAATGGACGATTTGTCTATTAATGCACGATTGTTTCATAGGCAACCAAACATACACCGTGTGCATTCATTGTTTATGCTATAACTAGCGGAATCTGCATTTAAATCGAAAATATGAATTTCATCGACGATTTTCCGTTAACGGGTTCGCCTTTCCAAGTTAATTGGCCACAAATCGAAAAGGAAGCTTTTGCAATAAGATTTGGGTGCCAGAAATTCCATGAATATATTTATGGCAAAAAACTCACCATCGAAAGTGACCATAAGCCACTTGAATCGATTTTCACCAAACCATTACAATCCGCTCCTGTTAGATTACAAAGGATAATATTCGACGTTTTGCAATATTCTCCTAAGGTAATTTACAAACAAGGTAAAGATATACCATTAGCAGATATATTGAGTCGAGATTGTACTGATAGCGGTACTGAAACCAATGAAGATGATGAACTTGAAGTTCAGATCATTTTAACAGTTTCTTCCCAAGTGAAACAGGAACTGATTCAGGCCACTAGAGAAGATGAAGAACTCGAAAACCTGAAAACATTTATTCTGAATGGTTTTCCTTTGAGGGTAAGAAAAATTCCTGATTGTATCAGACATTACTTATGTTTTCGAGAAGAACTAGCTGAATATGAAGGATTGATATTCAAGGGCGAGAAAATAGTTGTTCCAAAATCATTGATCCCAAAAATGTTGACAAACATTCATAGAGGACACCTAGGAATTCAAAGCTGTCTGAACCGTGCTAGGCAAATATTGTATTGGAGAGGTATGAACACAGATATTGAAAACTTCATAAAGAAATGCAAAGTTTGCGAAACATCCCAGCGTGCAAATTATAAAGAGACAATATGTTCAAAAAAAGTTCCAGATCTACCTTGGCAAATAGTGAGTTCAGATATATTTACATTCAAGGAAAAAAACTATCTGAATATATATGACAGTTACTCCGGGTTTGTGGACTTCAAACCTCTCAAATCATTGACCTCGATGGAGACAATCAACTATCTGAAAAATTGGTTCTCTGTCCATGGCATTCCTCAGATATTGGAAACAGACAACGGACCACAATATTTTTCGAGAGAATTCAGAGATTTTGCCACGCAATGGTCATTTCAACATTGTACTAGTAGTCCTTACCACCCAAGAGGAAATGGTTTAGCTGAAAGAGGCGTGCAAATTTCGAAAAACATTTTGAGAAAGTGCTATTTAGATCAGTCTGATGTTCAACTAGCTTTCATGAACTATCGAAACACCCCCCGAAGTAATCTGGGATCTCCAAATCAGCGACTTTTTAGTAGAATTACACGAAGTCTGATCCCGATGACTGAAACACTTTTGAGACCGAAAGTTATAGAGAACGTGACTGAAGATTTGACAAAACAACGGCAAAAACAGAAGACTTACGCAGATTATCATGCAAAAAAGCCTTCCGAACTTGAACGAGGAGATAAAGTACGACTCCGTGTAGATCATCGTCAATGGAAAGGTGCAGAAGTCATTGGACAGGGTGATAACCCAAGGCAAATCATTGTCAAATCCACTGATGGTCATGTTTACCGACGTAATACTAGCCAGCTACATAAAACCAAAGCAGACTTTTCTCAAGATAATATTATTGAACCTGCTGAAGGACATTCAAATCTACCTTCTTCAAATGGAATGGTACCTGCTAGAGATTCAGTCGTGCAACCCAACCAAATGATTACAAGATCTGGCATTTTTCGTAGCAAACTGCCCTAATTCTCTCCTCTTACAAACTGAATGGATATATGTATCTACTATTCGCAAACTTCTGACACCATGTAACGTTATATTTGTGAGAATTATAATACACGTTTTATGACAATATAGTTGTAAATTGTGAAGTCTATTGCTGACAGTAGCAGTATCCTAGACACTAACGACAGGTAAATGTTAATATACCTGATGATAATGTTACAGTCAAATGACACTAATGTCAGTAACAAGGCTACTGGGTGATTCTTAGCAGTTTCCGGATGGATGATGAATTCGCGAACCAAGTTTTCTTCATCGCAGGAGAAATGAGAAATATAGTCGACGGAAAAATTATGTTACCAACTTGTATATCAAAAGGCAATTAATACACTAGTTGGTTAAATAACTATTTCGTCGACCTCGTAATAACGAGTAAATTTAATGTTTATGAAATCGTTCATTAATGACCCCTATTAATGATCAATGTGTCTATTAATGCACGATTGTTTTATAGGCGACCAAACATACTCCGCGTGCATTCATTGTTTATGCTATACTTAACTGCATTAATCTGCATTTAAATAAAAAATATGGATTTCATCGAAGATTTTCCGTTAACGGGTTCGCCTTTCCAAGTTTCTGACTCGATTTCAATCTCTGTTTTCTAACACAAGGAATTTGTTTTCTATGTTGATCATTTCGACAAATGTCAAATGTCACCGATGTCAGTAACAAGACTACTGGGTGATTCTTAGTTGTTTCTGGAGGAATGATGAATTCACAAACCAAGTTTGAATTAAATAACTATTAGTTTTTGACGATTTGATTTTCATTTCTTTTCTTTTTGTAGATCATCCTTGCGGACGAGTGCACGGAAGCGGAGGGCCGCGCGTGGCACATGAAGCACTTTGCGTGCTCGGAATGCGAGCGACAGCTGGGCGGGCAGCGCTACATCATGCGGGACGGCAGGCCGTACTGCCTCGCCTGCTTCGACGCCTCCTTCGCCGAGTACTGCGACTCCTGCGGCGAACATATCGGCGTCGATCAGGTAAACTCCACAAAACATTGATACCACTTAGAACCTTTCTGCAACCACATATGGTGGTATTCATCAGGATTGCACGAGTATACATATATTTGCAAAAAAAAATATATACAAGGTCATTCGTCACTAATTGGCAGAGCTGGGCATTATTTGTATCTACAAATACTCTTCAGTATTTAAATACTTTTCGGTTTTCAAATACCGAGTATTCAAATACTTTCTGGTTCAAGTAGTTATATCCAGAGCTGGGCCAATACTCTGAGAAAAGTATTTAAATACTCTCAGATATTGAAAATATTTAAATATTAAATATTTTCAAAGGCCAAGAAGTATTTCAATAACAAATACAAAAGTAATTGATTAGTTCACAGTAAGTATTTAAATACCTACAAAGTATTTGAGTATTTCCAAAGTATTTAAATTCGCTGACAGTATTTGAGTATTTTCGAAGTATTTAAATACGCTGAAAGTATTTGAATAATTCAAAGGTATTTAAATATGAAGGGGTGAAAGAACTTACAGTCACAACTCCACCACATAAACTATTCAATAATGACCAACGGTCATGGACATATATAAGGACATGTTTCGAAGGATTAATCCATCATCATCATCAGCAAATTTTTCAAAAGAAAATCTGTGAGAAGAAACAACGCATATGTTAGATCTAGGGGTGAGGTTCTTCCTCAAGCATTCATTGTTGAACGAAATATCCAGCAAAATCATCTTTCTTCTTCAAAAATTCTGAAGAATTTTTATGGATCACCCACGTTGGTATTTGAATACATTGAATGTTGGATATGGAGGTCTCTACTATCTGAAACTACCTATACTGAGGGAAAGGCCGAGGGTAAAATAACTTGAAATTATCATTGAATACTTGTTTTATGTCTTGTCCTAAACAGTTCTATGTTTTTCTGTAGGATATGTGTGGATATTCAATTATTCTCGAAGTATTTGAATACTTATAAGTAAGTAAGTTGAATATTCAACGAGTACTTAAATACTGCTGAAATATTTAAATACTTTTGGGTATTTAAATACTCCGATGGTAATTAAATACTTCAGATATATTTAAATACTTCGCGAAACTATATTTGCAAATACTTAGTAATAAATATATTCCAACAAATATTTGTAAGTATAAATATAATTACCTGAACCAGAAAGTATTCAAATACTCGGTATTTATATACCGGAAAGTATTCAAATACTAAAAAGTATTTGTAAATACAAATAATGCCCAGCTCTGGTTATATCTATACTGACAAATATTTGTTGGAATATATTTATAACTCAGTATATGCAAATAGTTTCGCAAAGTATTTAAATATAATAATAATAATAATAATAATAATAATGTTTATTCGTATTAGCATACAGCAGCCATCCGAAAATGGATATACACGTCAGTTATAAATATCTGATGTATTTAAATCCTTTCGGAGTAATTAAATATTCAAAAGTATTTAAATATTTCAGAAGTATTTGGATATCTGAAATATATTCAAATACTGTGAAAGTATTTGAATACTCAAGAGTGTTGAAATACTCTGAGAATAATTGAATAATCAGATTCTGACATACGGCCATCACGGCTATGATATCATCTTCTCAAATGGAACACCCTGTGGATTTTAGCTTTTCAGAATCTGAGCTGATTTCAGAGAGCTTCGTCACATCCAACATTCAATATAGTGAATGGAAGAGGATCGAAAAACCAAAGAAATCGGGTAAAAATAAATGTAATTCTGTTTAACAATCATAGGTGAGACTAAGTCACTAATCAGACATCATCCTTTTCTATTGATGTCGGGTTTTGACAAAATGACGCCTTGCCAGTGCAGTACAAAGATTTTTTTCTTCTTCTGCTATGGAAACTGCCTCAATTACTCAAATCTACATCAAACAAGGTGATTTTAAGCGTCAAAAATACTCAAGTTACATGAATGTATCCAAATCCTTGAGAATATTCGAATACTTCGAATGTATTTAACTTTTGAAGTATTTAAGTACTCTGAAAGTATTGGAATACCTTGGAAATATTCTAATACTTTCAGCGAATTTAAATACGTTGCAAATAATCAAGTACTCTGAAAGTATTAAAATACTTTGGAAATACTCGAATACTCTGAAAGTATTTGAATACTTACTGTGAACTATTCAATTACTTCTGTATTTGTTATTTAGATACTTGTTGGCCTTTGAAAATATCTAATATTCAAATATTTTCTATAACCGAAAGTATTTAATACTCAATATCTAAGTACTTTTCTCAGAGTATCTGCCCAGCTCTGCTAGTTGGAAATATTACAACTATAGAATCCTGAACTCAGAATATGATTGAACACAAATCAGCTAGATAGTGTTTTATTTTAAAATTAAAAAATCATTTGTGCCCAGTTCTTCACAACTTTTCGCCGTAGTTTTGTCATATCTGGTGGGTGATAAATCAAGTTGAATGAATATTTCTGCCTGATACCAGAGGCGTACGACAGGGGCAAGTGACTGTTTGATCCCTCACAAAATCGAGACACACGCCACTGGCGGAATTGCAATTCTATAAAAAAATTTCAATTCTCCAACAATTTTTACGTAGATATTGTACTCTTTCTCCATGGCGATAAAGTCATTATTTTTCGAAATATTTCTAGTTGTACTTCTAATTTTGACATGTAATTTGACACTTCGAAACTGACGGTAGTTTTGAAACGTCACATTGTACGAAACCAATTTTGTAGAGTAAAATGTTATTCAATTGGTGATGGAATGTTGATTTCAAAACCAGATGCGTGATAAAAATATGGATGGAAGAAGAAAATAGTACATTTTACATCCTCGATCGATATCACCTGGGAAATTTCAACTTGAATCAGCCATTTTCCACTGATGAAAATGTCAAACGAGTCTATTTCGTTAAGTTCATCGCTCATTTATAGGGTGTTTCACAGGTGAAGGAAAATATTTCAGTGGTACATAGGGGTCACCAAGGTAGTTCTGAAAATACCATATTTGATAGGTCTTAGAGTCTTCATAACGGAGATACAGGGCGATTTATCGATTTCGAATGATTATTCATTCGTTTATAAGTATTGAACTACCCGGTATATTTTCCTCAAGTTTGGTATATAGCTTGAACTTGGAAAGTTGCATTTATTCACCTATCGGGCGGAACGAAAATCCAGGTTCGGCTTCAAAAAAAATTTACATTTATTCGAAATATTAAAATAACACACTGTATATGTAATGACTAACAGAGTTCATCGAAGGAATCGTGAAGAGAAGGAAAAACTGAATTGGATTTGATGCTTTTTGTTTTCCCGACACCAATTCGCATCGTAACAATCATAAACAGAAAGTTAAAAGTATGTCAATTTGAAGAGTATTAAAATTATAAAACCAATTTTGATTATGATTATTTGATATATTTCAGTTGAATGACCGTTCGAAAGAACTTATTTAGTCTCACTGTCTTTATAACAAAGATACAGGGTGAATTATCGGTTTCGAATAATTATTAACTCGTCCATAAGTTTTTGGGTGTATACATTGATATTCATCATAAGTATTGAACTACCCAGTAATATTTTATCAAATTTGGTATGGAGCTCACTTTTAGGACATTAGATTCATTGACCTATCAGGTGGAATGGAAATACAGGTTAGGCTCCAAGAAAAATTTACATTCATTCGAAATATAAAATAACACACTGCATTTAATATTTAACAAAGTTCATCAAAAGAATAATCGTGAACGGGAGAAATATCTGAACTGGATTTGATACTACTATCGATTATTCAACTAGAAGATATCAAATAATTATAATTAGATAATTCACCCTGTATCTCCGTTATAAATACTGTGAGACTTTTCCTGAAGCTAAACCTCTATTTCCATTCCGCCTGATTGGTCGATGAATCCAACTTCCCGAGTAAGGTCCATTCCAAATTTAGAGAAAATATTTCTGGGTAGTTATCAATACTTCTTATGGACGTGAGGACGTGTAAATAATTATTCGAAACTGATAATTCACCATGTATCTCCGTTATAAAGACTTAGTAGTGAGCTATTTCGAGCGATCATTCAACTAAAATATATCAAACAATCATAATTAGAACTGGTTTCATAATTTTAATATTCTTCAAATTGACATACTCTCAACTCTCTGTTTATGATTGTTACGATGAGAATTGGTGGCGGGAAAATAAAAAGCATCACATCCAATTAAGTTTTTCCTCCTCTTCACGATTCCTTTGATGAATTCTGTTAATTATTTCATACAGTGTGTTATTTTGATATTTCGAATAAATGTAAATTTTTCCTGATGCCGAACCTGGACGTTCACTCCGCCCGATAGGTGAATAAATTCAACGTCTCAAGTATAAGTTCCATACCAAATTGAAGGAAGATATACTGGGTAATTCGATACTTATAAACGAATGAATAATCATTCGAAATCGATAAATCGTCCTATATCTCCGTTATGAAGATTCTAAGACCTATCGAATATCGTATTTTCAAAACCACCTTGGTGACACCTATGTACCATTGAGATGTTTCCCTTTACCTGTGAAACACCCTGTATATAAATCATTTATTTAGTCAATTTGGCTAATTTACATTTTCAAGTCATTACAATGATTACAATTTAATCAATACATACAGAGAAGTGCACAAAAAACGGCCAGTGCTGTATCTTCTGAATCATTCTAGATCGGATTCCGAAAATTGGTAGGTGGCAAGTATACCAAATTGTTCATTAATTGACAAAACAAATTTTGTTCAATCACTTCCGGTCTCACCAGAAACGACCCTAACTTTTGACTTTTTAATGGGACACCCTGTATTTTATTCTAGAACGCGAATATCTTCGTAATCGTTTGAAATAACCCAATCAAATCCGTCTAATCAACACGTTTCAGAACTGGTGCAATTCGATCAAACTATAATAACTCTTGATTAAGACATCAACATATATATGAACTTCAGATACAAAAAAAATACCCGACGCAATCACCATGTCTGATATGGTATGATGATATGTATCAGAAATTAAATTTCTGGGTGTTCATTTAGATGAGTTCGTGAGCTGGGACAAACACATAGATCTGATCAGTAAAAAACTCAGCTCAGCATTCTATGCCATTGTGCAATTGAAAATAACATCGTATTTGAGTACACTCATTAGTGTATACTACTCTTTAGCTTATAGTCAGTCATCTTTCATACAATGTCTGTCTATGGGGTAACGCTGTTAACTGGAAGAAAGTATTCAACAAACAGAAAAGAATAATGAGACTTATCTTTAACATTCCACACATTCCACACATGCAGACATGCCTTTAAAAATAATAATATCCTAACCCTATACCATCTATTCTCATATTTAAAACCCTCCTTTATGTAAAAAACAACTCACAAAGGTTTTTAAAACATTCTGATTATCATAGATATTCTACCAGGAATGCTCATGATTTTGATATCACTAGACAAAATCTATCTCGTACTGAAAAATCCCCGGACTATTTGGGAATAAAACTATACAATCATTTACCTCAAGAAATCAGAGCAATGAATTTTAATGTGTAATTGTAATTCTCATTATTTCACGTGTAAATCATAATTTTAAATGTCTTGCCTTATGCTGCATACTTTTTTAAAATACTTTTTATAACTGACGTATATATACATTTTCGGATGGCTGCTGTATGCTAATACGAGTCCGTTACAGGGCCAGATGTCGCACGAGGGCCAACACTGGCATGCGGCCGACGCGTGCTTCTGCTGCCGCACGTGCCGCTCCTCGCTGCTCGGCCGCCCCTTCCTGCCCCGCCGCGGCGCCATCTTCTGTTCGATAGCGTGCAGCAAGGGCGAGCCGCCCACGCCCAGCGACAGCTCCGGACCGAACACCAGGTGAATGCAACTGTTAAAACACTGTTTTAACATGGTCTGTTTGATTTGTGGACTGTATTTGGTTGAATTTCTATTGTGAACAGAGATTCACGGCTTGACTTGATATTCAAGCTACTTGACTTGACTTGAAATCAAGTCAAGTTCAAGTCAAGCGAAAGTTTTTTAATGTCAAGTCAAGTCAAGTAATTATTTATCAAGTACTTGAAAAATCAAGTAGTTCTATCAAGCTACTTGATTTTCAGCAGTTTTATTGTGTATCTATACAGCGTGACTCACGGTCGATGTTATAGGTTAGACGTTTATGGAGAACGCGACGCGGGATTTTTCTGAAAATTTCGCATACACAAAAAATTCCTGTAGTTGAAAAATCTCGATTTTTCGCACTCTATATCTCCATAATCTTTTCCGCTATACCCCGAGTGTGATGTATCGATGAAATCAACTCTTCAAGGAGAATCGGAAAATGCAATAAAATACAGGGTGTTCAATTCGAAATAACAAAGTGGTTCCTACTTTTCTATAGAAGTGGCAACGTCGTGATTTTGAAAATATATTAGATCGATATAGTACCGGTGATGAAATGTGAGATGCGAAATTTTCAGAAAATTCCTGCGTTGCGTTCCTATAAACGTGAACGTCTAACCTACCATCGACCGTGAGTCACCCTGTATATAACTGATGAAATGAAAATGGCATCGTAAGACTGACTGCGCAATCAAGTTTGTTAATCTGTGATTCAGTCAACTCGGATCTCGGGGAACCCCCGTATTTTGTCTAAGCGTGAGCGAGCTTGCAGAAATATACGCCGTGCGACTCGTGCGTATCAAGATCAATAGGGATATTCCGGAGCCCTCGTATCTGAGTTCGTATATTTACGATAATGGCCTACGTATTGTTACGAAACCTCAAACACGGGAACGACCCATGGATAGCAATGCCAACTGTCAGTTCATTCCGAAGCTTCCAGTACGAAATTGAAAAGTTCAAATTCATCATCTGTCCACTTTTTATGAGGGCCTTGTTTCCTCTTGGAAACAGAGCTAGAACTGCATGACTGAAAATACAATTTCAATAATTCAAGTCCTTTTCCAAGATTGACACATATAGTTCTAGTTCTTATTCTTACCATTTTTAAAATACCTTTGTCCAAATCGAAATGCTCAATACCAGAGATTAGTTACAATAAACAGAGAGGTATATTGTGCTTTATGCTCAGGCCACACGCAGCTCAAACAATAAAAATTCGTTTATCATAATTTTGAATGATAACAATAACCCTAACCTCACCACTTGGAACCGGTCACGGGACAAAATTCTGTCAGAACAGTTTGGTAAAAACGGAAATTTTGTAATCTTACACAAGAAAATGGTAGTGTAAAGTTACGAAGGACCGCGTATCCTAATCGACCAATCAGATTAGTTTGCTGAATACGACGATACGAAAATACGATAATACGAAGCATTATACGAGGACCGGGAATACCCCTAAAGTATTATCAAGTAGCTTGATTTCAAGTCAAGTAATAAATATCTCAAATTCAAGTCAAGTCAAGTACGTAATTTGCCACGAGCTTGATTTTCAAGTCAAGTCAAGTAGTTTGTTAAAATATCAAGCTACTTGACTTGATGAATCTCTGATTGTGAACTTTATATTTGAGTTACTTTTGAATAGATTTCTTCGAAGAAATATGAGATTAAAGTAACTCTCGATTGATTGACAATTCGTGTCTAATTTTCTATTGTGTACATCACTATGACATTGATATATTCAACAGAGTGTTAACAAGATATAAAAACTATGAACTAATCCTTCTTGAACATACTCTCCCGCCTTGAAATGCCCTGTTTTCAATCAGAATACTCTGGTAGAGGACAAATTTTGGGGAAACTTCTTTGTATTATTCCATTTCGAACTTTAATTGTTGCAATACGACCATGACCATCGGAACCATGAAAAACTTTCAATATGCGTCCAAGCTTCCAATCGAGTGGTGATGAACTATCATCTTTTACAAGAACCAAATTTCCTTCGCGAAGCTGACCCTGACTTGATTTCCATTTACTGCTAACTTGAAGCTCAGATACGTATTCTTTGGTCCATCGTTTCCAAACATGCTGACATATTTGTTGAAGAAGTTGGTAGCGCTTCTAACGGTCGATTGGAACAGATTCAACGTGAACATCTGGTGCAGCAATTAGCGACTTTCCAATGAGGAAATGAGCAGGGGTTAGTGAAGAGGGATCATTCGGATCTGACGAGATTGGACATAATGGCCGTGAATTCAAAATAGCTTCTATTTGCACTCACTGGCGGATCTGAGGGGGGGGCCATGGGGGCCATGGCCCCCCCCCAGAGCTCTGAATAAGTAGTTGATATTGGTTCAACAATCAGTCTGGATATGCAACCAAAGCTACGTTATACAAACCAAAATTATTCGTATTCGTAGTTTTCGTATTGAATGGTTCCTCAAACACTCGAACATGCCAAATCAACTCTTTTTTGAATTTCATTCATTATCATATACAAATATTATATAGAAATATTCTTGTATGCAGTGGGAATATGGGAAAACGACACAGGCGGTCAGATCAAAGGGCGGCAAAACAGATAACGATAGAGGAAAAATAATTATTTTCAAGGCCGGGGCTTTAGTAAAATGCAAATTAGCGGTAAGCGGTGACCGGTGGCGGTGAGCGGCAAGAATCAAAAACAAAGGGAATAACTGAAATAAGTAGTTGTTTTTTATCCGAAACCGCAAAAAACACTAATTGGTTTTGAAAGAAAAGGGTGAAAAGGGTCATTTCACATTAGTTCTTCAGAACAGTAAGATTCAGTTCACAGATTTTTTCATTTAAAAAGAAAGAAGAAGTAAGTGATAAGTGAAATTGAAATTATACTAAAAATTAAATGGTAAGTAGGTACATTGGTACATACGCAACAGTGAGATTATTAACGAGATTGATTTTTATATATTTTTGAAAACCGATAATCAGTGTATAAAATTTTACTCACTTGGATGAACAAAACTATTTAGAGCTGCAGATAAATCTTCAATACATTTTCGAGAATCATTTAATGTCTACTCAGTATGCCCGATATTGTGATGTCTGGCTCCACCATCCCCACCAAGCCCACCATATCTATGCTCGGTATTTCCATCAGCAACACTCTTTCATGGGATAATCATGTCAGATCCATCGCAAAAGCTGCTTCACAAAAACTCGGATTCTTGTTCCGTGCGAAAAGCTACTTTACACCTCAACAGCTTCTCATGATCTACAAAGCGCAGATACGGCCTGTTCTAGAATACTGTTCCCACATATGGGGTTCAGCACCAAAACATACGCTGATGCTCTTAGATTCCATCCAGAGAAGAGCCATTCGCCTGGTGGGTGACGCCACACTCACTCACTCTTTGACATCATTGGAACACCGTAGAAAGGTCGGCGACCTTTCACTTTTCTATCGATACTTCCACGGGAAATGTTCTTCGGAAATCTCTGCTATCATCCCTTCACTAGCAATACCAATCAGACGAACTAGACAAGCCCAGTCAGCACATCCTTTCGTTGTCAACCTCGAAAGATGTCGAACAGCACTTTATCAAGACTCCTTGATCCATAGAACGGCTAGGCTCTGGAATTCATTGCCTGTGGAAGTATTCCCAACAACATATAATCTCCAAAAGTTCAAAAAAAATTCCAATACCTACCTCCTGTCCCTATCCTCCCTAGGAACGCTCGATGTTCTTCGAACATTATAGGGATTCCCTTTCGTGCGCTCCAAACGATAAAAAAAAAAAAAAAAAACTAAAAAATGTATTTTAATAATCATGGTGTCATTGTGAAAAAAAAATTGCAATCTCCTACCTATTCGATCTGGAGAACTTAGCTGAGCTCTTTAATTTTTCAGATGGATAGAAGGAAGATTAATTCATACTTTTTGCCAGTACAAAAAAAGCGGAAAATTGAACAACCAATTCAAAGTATTCAAAGCGAGGCAGGGCCGTCATCTTCAGCTTTAGGAAACCGTGACATATCAGAGGGAAATTCATTCATTATTCATGTGGTTTCAATTACTTTGGTTTCAAAATTCCATTAACTCACGGCCCATGGCCCCCCCCTGAAAAACTGCCTAGATCCGCCACTGTTTGCACTAAGACTGTTTCCAATTCTTCAAAAGTGAATGTTATATTGCCCATAGCCCTTTTGAGATGATGCTTAAAACTTTCAACACCGGCCTCCCATAGGCCTCCCAAATGTGGAGAATGACTAGGTAAAAACTCCCATTGTATTCCTTCATGCATATATCGTTCATTGAGTTCAGAAGTATGACTTAAAATATATCTACCTAGTTCTTTATTTGCTCCTATAAAATTTGGGCCTCTGTCAGAATGAATCACGTAAGGTTTGCCCCTTCTTGATACAAAACGGCACTTTGGTACATCCCAGGGACGTAGCAGGAGGACATCCCTTCCCTAACAACACGGGATCTTGCTGGTACATCCCGCTAAGGTCCTACAAATGTCCCAATGTTTCAGACTTAGGTACGATATCCCAGAGATGTTTCTCTTGGGACATCCATCAGATGTTTTCATTGGATGTTCTAGAAACATCCTATTTGATCTTTTTTTTATAAACAATATCATGGTTCCATAATGATGATTGACATGATTGGACAGTTCAAACAATTGTGACATTTGAAACATTGAAAAGTTGATAAAAAATGGAAATCAAAACTGTATTTGTACATATATACTTATACCCATACCAAAGCCGGCTAATTTCATCGATAACAATAAATTGAAATAATTATACAATAAATATTTCTCAATAAGATTACTTAACTTCATGAACCATGTAATAAACGACAAAATCAAAACATATCTCTTCAGCATATTTATTGCTGAATTTATTTGTTATACCAGCCGATAGATGGCGGTACAACTACGTTGCTAAGAGTAACTAACAGCCGTCGGCCCAGCGCCAACAAATATATGAGCCTCAAACAACTGTTATCATCTTACATTTGTATTGGACCGCATCGACCTTACATATTCAGACTCGGATTCTAGGTCGGCTATTTTCAGGATATCAGATTGAAAATAATGCATACCGTGTCATCCATTACTGTAAACAAACAAGAAACATCCTAAAAGTGTCTTCAAGATGTTCCATATCAAGTACCCTGAATGTCTCTGGTACATCCCGTATCATCTCACAAACATTCTGATGGGACGTTTATAAAACATCGCAAATGCTGACACGGGTGTTGCCAGCAACATCCCAAGAATGTCCCAAGGAAAATAGGGATTTTCCAGAGATGTTCCTATCATCCCATATGGATGTTTCTACGACATCTTACAGATGTTATTGTGTTATTAGGGTTGGATGCCTTTTTTAGCGGCCAGCGGATGTCCCTGGGACGTCCCTAGTATGTACGTTGTTTCGACAGAGGACATCTCTGGGATGTCCTAGTATCATCCATCAGGGTTGTCCCTGGGAAGTCATTAGGATGTACTGATGTTGTTAGTGGATTGTTATCGATAATTATCGATATATCAATAAATTTGCCCACCCCTAGACATAACCCCCTCTCTGTCCTCAGAATCCCCCGCCAGCAATCGAGAACCCGCCCCCCACGCCCCCCGTCGCCCAACGAGAGCAGCACGCCGCCGCCCCAGTCGCCCTCCGCCTCTCGTCACCTGCCCACCACGCCCGCCGCCCTCCTCGCCCGCTCTCCCACCACGAGCGGCACGCGCTCGCCCAAGATGGGCAGGAGGGCGTTGCAGCGGTCGCCGCGGCCGATGACGGGCGGGGCGTCCGTGCCCAGCACGCCCAGTCTGTCGGATAATGGTGGGGGAGGCAACGAGTCGGTAGGGCATGAGGATGGGGCAGATGCGCTCATGAGGTATGTTTGAGTTATAGTTTATTCTCAGAATTTATTGAAACACAAAAAAATACGGCAAATAAATTACATTCGATGATGTGTGTAATCGTCTTCTCGAAGAGTAAATTTCAACCTTTAATATTAGACAGGTGCAATATTGCCTTCAATATTAACTAATCGAAGTGAAGGTCAAGAAAACAAAAGTTATTTTTGAATAGAATGGCGACCGTTGAATATGATTTTCAAGAAGTTCAAGTTCATAAAAAATTCCAATACCTACCTCCTGTCCCCCAGGCAACCAGATGACGTTCCAGTGACGTCTTTTTTACGTCACTTGAATGACCAAGGTGACGTCAGTAGTTGACGTCGCATTGACGTGATAATGACGTGAATAAGTCACAACCCAATGACGTCATATTACTCACGTCATATTGACGTCATTCACTCACCAAACTGTGACGTCCACCTGACGTCATAATGACGATTGAATTTGGCGATGATGCGTGAAAAAGATTTCTTCAGCATGGTGTGATAAACACGACTAGCCTCTGATGACATTATATAATATTGATTATGCATTGTTGAGTCTGCTTGGTGGGTCTCTTCTGTGTCATGTTCATTCAATTGCCTATGCAGCAGCGCCATCCTTCAGTACGCATCTCCATCAGAATGCAATCAGTTATTAGTATTTGTATCAAAAATTATGTAGTTTGTGTCAGCGAGATGTAAGCAAACAAAGAAAGTTTGATAGCAATGGAAAGGATGTTGGCGAATTTGGCTTCACTTTGTTGAATAATGTATATAATGCATTCTCTGTCACCCAAAAAAAATCTAAATAGCAAATTATTGAAAAATTTCCTAGATGACGAAGTTCACCAAATTGGTACGTCACACCGACGTGATTTTTAGACGTCATAGATACGTCACTGCAACGTCATAAGAGTAACGGTTTCAATATAGGTATACCTAAACAATCATTTACATAGCTTGTTGGTTTCCGAGATATACATCAGTGTGTCAAAGTTTTTTAGAAAAAAGTTTTTCTACTACTTTTCGGGTAAGTATATCAATAATTGGAATAAAACTTGCATGTTGATTTGCTTTCATGAGTTATACTTCTGTTTCACATGATGATATATAAGTATTCATGGTTTAGAGAGAAGGTCTGGGAAAAATAGACGTCGACAGGACGTCCCTGCAACGTCATGAAACTGGCGTCTTTTTTTACACATCTAAGTGACGTTCACTCGACGTCGAAACGATGACGTGATTATCACGTCATAGAAAGTACATCATAGTGACGTCATAAATTGGTGTGTGACGTCTCTGACGAAAAATCACCAATTAGGGACGTCACAGTGACGTGATCATTCGTCATCTGGTTGCCTGGGCCCTATCCTCCCTAGGAACGCACGATGCTCTTTGAACATTATAGGGTTCTAAGCTATAAAAGAAAACTACGTTTGCTGCGTCAGCTATTTTGAATTGATATCAATTTCCTTTCGCAGAGGGCTGCCTGCCGCTTCGCCCAGCTGCCGCGGCCTTGACAGGGTGCTGCTGGAGCGCAACCTCGAGCGCCTGCTAACGGAAAGGGGGAGCGCCGCGCCCGGACTCGCCGGCGACCTTGAGAAGCTGCTGGCGGCGCGCGACCGCAGCCGCGAACCACTCCATCTCGCCGACCTCAGTCTGGACGATTGGCCGTCGCGAACGGGAGAGGAGGAGGAGGAGGGATGCCGGCGGGATCAGGAGAAGTTGGTGCAGGTAGGCTAAGTCACTAGATTCTATTCTTCTTATCGTTCTCCACTCACTTTCTCATAGGCTACCATTTTTTTCATTTGATTATCTGGTGAATATTCTATAAACCTCATATCGAAACCGATAGACTCGTATAATTTTTTCATCGGCAAGGCATAAAGGACACATGAAACGTGTGATAATAATGATTTATCATGAGTATCCCAAAATGTTTATCAGGATCATCCAGAATTATACCGAATGAATATTTTGTATGTATGTACAGGGTGGGCAAAATTGGGCGTTTTCACCGTCTATCTCAATAACTAGAGAGCTAGGACTTATCGAAAAACCGATATACATGTTCTGGGTTCGATTTTGGAGAAACCTCGAATGGCACAATCAAAATTTCGATATTTTCATTCGTTTTAGAGATACGGGGGGAAATTGAAAATTTGCCGATTTCGATTTTATTTTCTGACTACTTTACGGTGAGAGGTATCAAAAAATTTAGAAAGAATATTTATACAGTATGATGCGTGGAATCCATTGGCATCATCAGAAATTTTATACAGGGTGACGTTGAAAAGATACGGCAGCCAATTATGTTTTTTCTCATGGAACACCCCGTATATTTTGGCACAGTTGAATAGTCCCAGGCGTTCTCATTACAAATATACATATAACCCTACCTTTTCCTTCCACAATTTCAGATATATTCGCAAAAATATATTCAGTGTGTCACATTTCTTATGGTTACACCCCCGTATCTTCTGTAAAAATAATTGAGAGTAGGATTCAAAAATTCGCAACTATCAGATAGATACAAATGATACACTCATGGATTCATGGACCAAGTGGGATCATCTCCAATGATAACACTGCTCGCCAGCAGCTATGGAATCATCGATATTTCTGGATAATGCTATCAACAGGCAGAATCGAGGTTGAAAATGACACTCTGTATATATTCACCAAAGGTGGAAAATGAATATCATAGGGAATGTTATTTCCAGATAAATGGATATTTGGTGAGAAATAAAATGGAAAATTATTCGATTTGATACCATTGTTATCAAGACATTTGAGATTTTTTTTTATCGCTTGGAGCGCACGAAAGGGAATCCCTATAATGTTCAAAGAAATAAGACCAATAATTTACTCAATTAGGAAATCAGTAGTTGGTTGCGTTTAAAAATATAGCCTTATAGAAGATGTCCAAATTCCATATACAGAACAATTTTTTTTTATGGAACACCCCGTATATTTTGGCAGAGCTGGAAAGTTCCCGTTTCAATTTCAAATATATATCTTATTTATTATTTCTTTGAACGCAAAAATATCAAGGCATACTAGAAAGTATTATATTCAGGCATTCTGCCACAAAATATTATTTTTGTTAATGTTTCCATCAATTATTTTTACAGAAGATACGGGGGTGTAACCATAAGAAATGTGACACACTGAATATATTTTTGCGAATATATCTGAAATCGTGGAAGGAAAAGGTAGGGTTATATATATATATGAGAACGCCTGGGACTATTCAACTGTGCCAAAATATACGGGGTGTTCCATTAGAAAAAACATAATCGGCTGCCGTATCTTCTCAACGTCACCCTGTATAAAATTTCTGAAGATGCCAATGGAGTCAGTCAGAAAATAAAATCGAAATCGGCAAATTTTCAATTTCCCCCTGTATCTCTAAAACGAATGAAGATATCGAAATTTTGATTGTACCATTCGAGGTTTCTCCAAAATCGAACCAGGAACATGTATATCGGTTTTTCGATAACTCCTCTAGTTATTGAGATAGACGGTGAAAACGCCCAATTTTGCCCACCCTGTACATGAATTATAACCTGACAATAACAATGAAGTGAATTGTTTATATTTTTTCTAAAGAACAACCTCGACTCTGCACCACACCACGCCTCTTCGATGCCCGAACTAGCCCTCGAAAGCCCCGGAACCTCAACTACACCAGGGTCGCCTAATAAGAGGGGGGGCAGGGGGAATCTGAGCGTACGTTTTCAGGTAAGGCATATCTCACTACAAGCATAGTTGGAAGCTATGTTCAGCAATATTGCAAAAGTTAAGTTTGATAATGTAGCGTTGCAGCAATATTACATATTGCTGTGACATTGCTGGAACGTTACATTGATGAACTTTACTTTTGCAATATTGCTGAACGTCTGTTTCAGTAATTGCTACAACATTGCATCAACATATAGTTTTTCAAATTTCGTTTAGTGGAATTTTTGGTGCATCCAAATATATAGGACAGGGTCTTTCATCGAAAACTTGACTATAACTAAAAAACGGAATCATCGACCAGAAATCGCCAGGACTCGTGGATTTTTAAACTTGGGAAAAGCATTTTTATGTGTTCATCCCCCTAACCCCTAGCAACCCCTACTTTGATATTCCAAATGAAATTACCCCACTTTCAACACATCATTTACGATTTTTTTTAGGCAGATTACTGCACGTGGTTCAAAATATCTTCTCCTTAACCACCCTGTATCTATATCTTAAACCAGCAATATTTTTATGAGGCATGTTGGGCCAAATCTTTATATTTGGGTGTTTATTATCTACAGTTCAGAGATTTTCAATTCCCAATTTAATAAATAAAATGATTAAAATGTTATAATTGTTTCATAAATCTCTTCAAGAGCGAATATCACGAAAACCGTTGAATTTAGACAATTTGATAAGGAGTATATTTTTCATGTGAAATTGAACGAGCTTTCAGATTTTCCACTTATTTTGATCATCAATGAATGGACATAAAAGATATGATGTAAATTATCGAAGTAACAGAGTACCACTAGCGCCGTCTATGAACAATCACAAAATAAGTTGCAAATTCATATTCCTCGTGTCAGAAAACCTAAAAATACAAGATTTCATGTTCATGCTGTTAGAACTAACAAAGTTATTGGGAAATTTTTAAATAAAATCTCCCCCTAGAACACCCTGTATCTCCTGAACCAGCAACATTCTCATCAGGCATATTGGGCTAAACTTCATTATTTTTGTGTATACTCTATGTACTTCAGATTTCCCATTCTTAATGAATCACTCTGTATAACGACCTAACATCTGAGAATTATTTGTTGACATTCAAAAAAAAAACGATCATGTTTTTGATAGAATAAAAATCATCCTGTGTCCTTTTAGGGGGACAACGAGGCGTTCGAGAGGGACGAGCGAGACCTCGCCGAAGAGGAGGAGGAGGAAGCTTCGAGGAGGTTCCCTAGGAGTCGCAGCTACTCTGGGGGGCGGTCTAGGCAGCACGTCGACACGCTGGAGAGGCGGGGCGGCAAGCAGAGGAGGGCGGCCCACGGGGCGGCCGGCTCTTCTAGGCACAGGTGAGATACGATGAATTGATATTGCAAGCATAATACTGTGACAAACAGGATGTTCTAGAGTTGTAGTGATGAAAGCTTATTAATTTTGATTGATGAAAAGTTAATCCCAGGCAACCAGATGCGTTCCAGTGAAGTCTTTTTCACGTCACTTGAATGACCAAGGTGACGTCAGTAGTTGACGTGACGTCGTGATAATGACGTGAATAAGTCACAGTCCAATGATGTCATATTACTCACGTCGTATTGACGTCATTCACTCACCAAACTGTGACGTCCGACTGACGTCATAATGATATCAAAATGACGATTAAATTTGGCGATGATAGGTGAAGAAAATGCCTTCAATAGGTGTGATAAACAACCACTGGCCTCTGATGACATTATATAATATTGATTCTGCATTGTTGAGTCTGCTTGGTGTGTCCCTCCTGTGTCACGTTCATTCAATCGCCATTCAGCAGCGCTATCATTCAGTACGCATATCCATCAGATTCATCAGAATGCAATCAGTTACTTGTATTTGTATCAAAAACTATGTAGTTTATGTCGGCGAGATGTAAGCAAACAAAGAATAGTTTGATAGCAATGAAAAGGATGTTGGCGAATTTGGATTCACTTTGTTGAATAATGTATATTGATGCATTCATTGTCACCAATCAAAAATCTGAAAAGCATCACCGACGTGATTTTTAGACGTCATAGATACGTCACTGCAACGTCATAAGAGTAACGGTTTCAATATAGGGTTAACTAAACAATCATTTGTATATATATTCTTGTCTCATATTTTTCATTGATTCAATTCAAATACATTGGGGAAATGAGCTTATCACAAAAAATAATTGGTAAATAGTAGAAAAATGGTTTATTGAACGAAAAACAGACGCATACAGAATAACTTAACTAGATTGATGATCATAAATAATAAATATTATTATCATTAGTTGTTGTTCCTTTCAGAGATGAAATAAACTGGTGATGCTTTTTTGGTATCAAGTTCAGATCACACAAGCTGATCAGATCATTCCTCTTATTATTTAGTATAGGCGGTGGGTTGTTGTAGGCTGGAATTAATGCAACTTCCCGGCGTTGTGTTCGGGTTTTTTCTCAATTTCAATCTCTGGGTACATATTTGTGTGAATATTCACTGAGACCAACAGAAACTAAAATATTTTGAAGACGTTGCTATTAGTTCAATCGTTTCCAGAATACTAAACAGGAATAGACATGTTGTTCAAGTATCGAAGCTGGGCGATAGAGCAACCTTAGGATAACCAGGGATAACTAATGCACTAGTGCGAGAATCTCAGTGCTACAGCAGCATATGTTATCATAAACCTACTGTTGCATTAACTCGATATCGAAATGGGGACTTGTGTAACACAAAGTTATGGTAAACATAAAATATATTATGACGTCATAAGGCTTTTCTCAGTATTCCACTAGATGCCGAGGTAGTTTATGATTCAAAAACTTCAATAACCCCGAAAGCCCAATTTTTCACATGTCCTATTGTTGCTCTGAGGCGACGAGATGAAATTAATTGCTGTCCTAGTCAAAATGCTGATTATTCCTGAGGAACACTAAGTCAAGATAAAAATTAATTTAGATATCCTATGAAATCTCATGCATTACTATAGCAACAGTAAGACAAGTGGATATAATTATTTCCCAGCTGATCTTATTGATTTCAAATCATCATCATTTGGAATATACTTGGAAGATCAGAAAGTGTACAAAATTTCACTGAGATGCGTTTACTAGATCCTGACATATGTGGGATTGAAGTTATCATGAAAACTTAAAATCGAATTTACTCGAAACTAAGATTTTGTTGATGTCCTACTGTTGCTCTGAGGCGACGATATACATAGCTTGTTGGTTTCCGAAATACATAGTGTGTCAGTTTTTTAGAAAAAAAATTTCCCCACTTTTCGGGTATATATTAATAATTCCAATAAAACTTGCATGTTGATTTGCTTTCATGAGTTAAACTTCTGTTTCACATGATAATATATAAGTATCCATGGTTTAGAGAAGGTCTGGGAAAAATGGACGTCGACAGGACGTCCCTGTAACTTCATGAAACTGACGTTTTCTTTTACCCATGACGTTCACTCGACGTCGATACGATCACGTGATTATTACGTCATAGGAAGTACGTCATAGTGACGTCATAAATTGTTGTGTGACATCTCTGACGAAAAATCACCAATTAGGGACGTCACAGTGATGTGATTATTCGTCATCTGGTTGCCTGGGGTAGGACAAATTTCATGATTACTTTTCAGAGGTCGGACTGGAAACTTCCAGTTTTTTTCCAGAAAGATATTCCCTTCAGAAATATTTTGTGTATCGTGTTGATTATTGATTAGTCTAGAGGTTCATTATTTGCAAATAAATAATTTCTGATCTGAGGCATCTTATGCATTGTTTAGAAAAATAATCTGGTTGGGACATGGGTTGACTGTAGACTGCTGGGATAAAAATAAATTGATTTTTGCTAACTTACCTATATCCAAAATCGTTTCGTTGGAAGGTACAAGGCGTTAAAGTGCTCAACTTAGGTCCTGAATAGTTATCGCTAAATTCGTAACGCGAGAGTTCTTGTAAAGCCCGCGAGGACCAGCAACATATCAGTTTGTTTACAATAAGAATACATTGTAGCCATGATCAATAAACAGTCGGACTAATTAGATTGATTTTCAAAAATGCGAATGAACCTGGGGACTGATCAGAAATTAACACGATACAAAAAATATTTCTGGAAGGAATATCTTTCTGGAAAAAAAATTGGAAGTTTCCAGTCCGACCACTGAAAAGTTATCACGAAATTTGTACGGCAACATGGTCGTTTGAAACACTTGCAGGTCACTGATGATGATCAAAAACATTTCAAAACGTGACTTACAGGCACAGAACATGCCATGCCAAAAAATTATGGAAATCGATCTCAGCCTACTCTTTTTATGAGCAAAATTATTTTTCCAAAAAAAAATTGGGTGTTCAAAAATGAGAGGTATTATGCATGTACGATTTCTGTTTGCAAAAAGTAGTAATTTCTTAAGAAGTTCTGAGACTTTATTCTTTATTTTCATTTCAATTATTCTCCGGAAGGAACACAAACATTTTCAAAAAAATTCAACTCAATAGTTTGATGAAATTCAATGACTCTGATGTGAATGGATATCAGATATTCCAGGGACACGAATAGGATAACCTAGGGATGTACCGGGCGGGATGTCCACTGGACAACCACTGCGGGACATCCCCTGGATGCTCCAATCATGCCTTTGCACCCCGGGACAAAAAACGGACTTACCTAGGACATCCCTGTGTTGTTAGGGATACCGTATGTTATACTCGTCGTGACAATACGTTCTCGGAAACGGAGCAAGATAAAAAAATAGCAGTGTAGACCGAACTATTGTATTCTTGGTGGGTTTATCTGAACCGTCCATCATCTTTTTTTCTTCCAGGAGTCGAGACCACCACCACCGCGACGTCGAAGAAGACGACGACGCCGCCAGCTACTGTTCGACCTGCTCGTCGAGCTCCTCCAGCGACGACCTCGACTACCAGCTGCCGCCGCGACGCGCGTACGGCGGCGTCCGCATCTCCTACGTGCCCAACGACGCGTTGGCCATCGCGCGGAGGCGGCAGGCGTCGGTCCAGAAGTCGCCCACGGGGGGCAGAGGCAATAAGGCGGCGTTGGAGGACAAGGACAAGAATTGCGTGGTGTCGTGATGGTTGGCGAAGGTCGTTGGGTTTTGCCAGGGCTGTTGTCATCGGTGAGTTATTACCCAGCAAACATGAATAGGCTGTAACGATCTCAGGGTATATCATTTAAATTCCACAAATAAACGGTGCACTTCACAGTAATACAACATATATAATGAACACTCGGTAATTACAACGAATCCTTTACAAATTTAGATTGATGATTTCAAAATTTATATTCCTGAAGAATTCAATTAACTGACGTCTTGAAATGGACCTGGCGCTCTTTCGGAACTGCGTCTCTCTCTTAATACTGGATATTCAAATTAAAGTGTCTCCTACCTGCTGTCAGATGTACTCAATGTTATTTTCAAATTTGAACCATCCCAACCTTCCATAAACGATTAGTATTCCGATGTTAGAGTATATACGTAAAGGATCAGGATCATCTACATTCCATCTATATTCCCATTCCCGTGTTGATATGTTCAATAATAGGTGCGTTCGGTTTAACAAAATCGGAGCCGAGCGAGCAGATGCAGATTTGGTGTCACGTGATCACCTAGCAGATAGAGCTAAACATATTCAACGAACGCTCAACGAGGTAGTAGATTGCGAGCGCCAGCTGTCAGAAGTAACAGAAAACAGAAACAATTCACTTAACCTCATTACTTTTGAAAACCCTCAGGGCAACAAAGTTCTTTTGAATGTTTGTTGTTTATATTTTGGAAATTACTAGGGAAGGAATGATTCTGTCTCATATGATCGGTCAATAACTGTGGATCCAGGGCAGTGATCGCATATATTACAGATATATAATTAATATGCTACCTACAGCAAATTCGTCGGTCATTCTGGCGATTCTGGGCAAGGAGGATTTTACAAAATTCAGTTTCGTGTTTCCAGTTGATCGAGTCTTTAATTTTTCGACATAAAAGAGATATAATTTCAATAACATGTTGTTGACATTGATTCGTTGACAACCGACAACCGGATAACCGATCAAATCTGAATGATCTGCTCCTCAAGGCGGAGCAAACAGATTACATCTTTCAGCTCGCTCTGACAATTAACGAACACGGAGCAGATTAAACAGAGGAAGTAGATCTGATTTATCGAACGCTTTCCGAGCTAACAGATGGAATCGAGCTAACAGATATGTTATAACCGAACGCACCTAATGTTATTCTTGCTGATTTTCAAATCAGAATTCTTTGAAGAAAATAGGATTCTCTCTTTTACCAAAATCCCCTTTTCTTTCTTTTTTCCCTTTATTTATTAGTTTCTACCCTCTTCTTTTTGTCTCCCTTGACAACCCCTTCAATCTACCTTTTTGATACCGAGTGTTCATTCACAGAAACTAACAGACCATTGCAAGGCGGTGAATAGGCGGGCCATCGCTGTCAGCAGCGGATATGTATCGGCAGCGGCAAACCGATATCGGCAGCGGCAAACCGATATCGGCAAAATGTTTGAATGACATAGGTTGTGCCGCCACGGCATGATGTACGCTTATTTATTATGTTTTTTTTTTTCATCCCGTGATTGACCGTTATAGATAAGTCACAATTGAGCCGCTGTCGATTCGACGCTGGAGACAAACTCCATTATACAGGGTGTCCGCTAAAAGGAGGTCAATCCATTAATCATATATTCCTTGAAAAAAAAAAAACAAAATGAGTTTCTGAATACCATTTTTCATTTTAGCCCTTCATATTCGATATACAGGGTGTAAAAGTTGGAAATTAAAAACTGTTTTTTTCTAATTACTCGCGTATTTAATAAGATATCAATCTCAAAATTAGTACATTACTTCAGCACAAAGAGTTACATCGTGTGAGGAAAACTGGGGGTCAAGTACACACACCCCTATATTTTTTTTGTACGTGCGCTAATGACTTCCTATCTATTTTTCGTCAAGTGTTCTTTCCTTTTTGAGTATTTTTTGTTAATTGTAAAATTTCGATAAAATTATTTGTTTTCAAGATAATTCGAAAAGTAGGTACTGATTATTGTTTGATGCATATGCATCTTACGGTAATCTCATAATGTTCACATACTCCTATTCATTTCGTCAAAATTGGAAGAGGGCGTAACTTTTTACGTTCGAAAAGGTAAATATGGAAATACCAGGTTCTCAGAGCGAATGTATTAAAATAATGTTTCTGAGATACAGGGCAAAATTGAAAATGTTGCATTTTGGAACCCCTTCTGTATCAGCTATCTTTCAACTTATAGAAAAAGTGAAAACTGTCACTTATACAGTTTTTTACGTGGAATCCAATGGCGTTGTCAGATTTTCTGAATAGGGTGTTATTATTCAGATACAACCCATAGTTTGTTTATTAAATATAACACCCTGTATATTTTTTCATATTTGAATTATTGATGCTTTGCGCTTTCCAAAAATATATAATACTAACACGATATTTTGAGTATTAGCCTCGAATTTAAATAATTGAATTGTTCTCACTATATACAGGGTGATCCACGGTGGATGGCCTATTAGAAGTATCTGGAGAACGGAAAGACAGAACATTCTGAAAATTGGGATGCCTTGATAATTGAATAATCTCTATTTGTCTAAAATATATTCATCGATACAGTGTTGAAACTTCTATCAGAAGCAACCAGCAACTTTGTTATTTCCAATAGAACACCCTGTAATTTATCGCATTTTTAGATTCTTCCTGGAGAGCTAATTTCTTCAATGCAGCACACTTGGGGTCTAACAGGAATGATTACAGAGATATAGGGTGTTCAAAATCGAGAGGTTCAAATTTTTTCATTTTTTTGGTGTCGAAACTATCCATTACCGATCAAAACGGCTCACATGTCCCTATCCTTACTCTTGATTCACTATCTACTGGAATTTGATTGGAAAAAATACAGAGTTAAGATAGGGACAGTGAGTCGTTTCGATCGATAATGAAGTTTCGACACAAAAAAGTCCTGAAATTGAAAAATCTCGCTTTTGAACACCCTATATCTCTGTAATCATTCCTGCTAGACCCCAAGTGGGATGCATTGATGAAATCTGCTCTTTAGGAAGAATCTGAAAATGCAATAAAATACAAGGTGCTCCATTTAAAATAACGAAGTTGCTAGTTGTTTCTGATAGAAGTGGCAACACTGTATCGATGAACATATATTAGACGGATAGAGAATGTCCAATTATCAAAGCATCTCAATTTTCAGAATGTTCTGTCTTTCCGTTCTCCAAATACTTCTAATAGGCCATCCACCGTGGATCACCCTGTATATTATTGATCCGCTTTGTAAATGTGTCTTGATTTACGCTTAGTCGGCGGTCTTAGGACTGCTGGCTGGAGACTGCCCTGCACTGATGAAAGTCAATTAAAGAGCTCGAAACCGGTCTGTAGGTGTCTAGCGTGGCCTGGCTAAATCGAAATCAATAGGCATTCAGGAAAGAATCACTTGAATCAGTATTCGTTTATACGAGTCGATGCATAAATCTCGGGAGGATGTAATTCAATGTTCTGCCTGGCATTAGCCAGGGAAGTAGTTGTTTTTTTCCCGAAATCTACCATTGTTGTTCATTTTATGAACATTGTGTGGAAATGACTTTGAGCTCTTTGTATTCATTTTACATTTCATTCCAATTTGAGCATTGTCACTATTTCGTAGTTGAAATATGTTTCGCTGAAAGTGATCTAATAAATTTTCTCTTGGTTTCAGGTTTTAGTATCATGGACTGTTCCAGATCGCAAAAACATCAATAGTAACAGATCGCACTTGAAAGATGGATCGTAGAATTCGGAATTTAATAGGACAATAAGGACAAGAATTGCGTGGTATCGTGATGGTTGACAATGGTCGTTGAGTGCTGCTATACAGGGTGTTTCTTAAGTACGTGTAGAAGTATTCAACTTTGACACTCTGTATCTCAGAAGCGAATAACTTTTGGGCATATACAGGGTGGGCCACCAGTAACGCCTCGGTCTGTAGAAGGCTAACCTCTTATCTTCTTGGAATTCTTCCTCTCGAAACATACAGGGTGTCCCCAAAAACCATAAAACACTGAAGTTAAACTTTTTCCTATCGAACACCCTATATATTATTTCATTTTGAGATTCTCCCTGATGTGCTGATTTCAACGACCCATCATACTTGGGGTCTAGCAGTTATAATTACTGAAATATAGGGTGTGAAAAATCGAGATTTTCCAAGTTTGAGAATTTTTTGTGTCGAAACTATTCATAATTGGTCAAAACGGCTTACATGTCCCTATCTCAACTTTTGATTAACTATCTACTGATATTTAATTGGGACATATACCAGGTGATCAAGATTCTGAATTCTGCACCACCCTGTATTTGTTTCAATTAAATGTCAGTAGATAGTTGATCAAAAGTTGAGATAGGGACATGTGAGCCGTTTTGACCAATTATGAATGGTTTAGACACAAAAAATTCTTGAACTTGGAAAATCTCGATTTCTCACACCCTATATCTCAGTAATTATAACTGCTAGACCCCAAGTATGATGGATTGTTGAAATCAGCTCACCAGGGAGAATCTCAAAATGAAATAATATATAGGGTGTTCAATTGAAAAAAGTTCAACTTCAGTGTTTTGTGATTTTTGGGGACATCCTGTATGTTTCAAAATAATTTCAAATGGTAGCCTATGTTGACAAGCAACTTCCTAGAGAGGAAGAATTCCAAGAAGATAAATGGTTAGCCTTCTAGAGACCGAGGCGTTACTGGTGGCCCACGCTGTATTTATACGAACTTTCCTTCTCATTTTGACGTCAGTAAAATGCTCCTGAATTTTCTATACGTACTCAAGGAACACCCTGTATATCAGGGACTTTCGCGGTTTTGAAAGGTGGAAACGTGGAGAATGAGGGTTTGTTTATTAAGGCTGGGCATTGATAATAATTATTATGAATCATCAGAAAACAACAATTTGACCTCATTATTTGCTATTTAAATACTTCTCCACCTTCAAAAATATAGTAGTTTTCCAGAGTATCTGCCCAGCTCTGTTTTGTATTTTTTTTCTAATCTACCGAAATACCTTTATATAAAACACTGAGGGCTGTTTCGATATTATTTAGGGCATTCTCAACGTTGAGGCATTTTATTTTGATATGAAACATTTTCAAAATAAAGGAAATATTACCAATCAAAGTTCCAATGCCTATTTTTTCGAAAAATAGGCATTGGAATAGGTATTTTGGATGAGAAATATGTGTATATGAAGAATTGGAATTCGGTATTTATGAGTTTTGTGTTAAAAGAACCTGTTCAAATAGTTTTGCCTTGATATTGTGTATGCTTGAATTTTTGTTCTTATACAGAGTGCCGAATGAATACTCTTCGCCTCCGGAAATTTCGTTGGCGTTGAATTTCACAATTTCTAGCAGGGAAATAATCCCACCTATAATATAATGGATGTCTATTGAATCGATACACATGTACAAATTAGATACTGAGCTATGCCGACTGTACTTATTGTAAATTACAATCTATTTATGAAGATAATATAATATCAACTAGCGTTTTTAATTTTGTATATTGTATATAGATTTTTATTGAATGTATCTACATCATTTTGAAATAAAGAATATTCCTATGAAACTTTTTTCTTTGCATATTTCCTTATATGTGTCATTTAATCCCTTTCCTCTAGAACTTGAGTTGATTATCCTGAAAACTATAAGATATGGAGACCAGCAGACTTCTAGATTCCTTGTTCAGCACATTGAGATCGCCCTGTATGCAAGTCTTCAACCCATTCTGATGCCTCGAATAGGTTGAAAAAAGTTCAAAGGGTTGTTTATTCTTTTCCAGACCCAAAAATCAACTTTGTCGTAGGTCCTCCAAATTCGGTATACAGGGTCATTAAGAGATGGCCTATAGTGCGGAGTAGAAGCACAACCCTGTTAAGCTTTGAAAGAAAAAAGTTGCCATTTTTGACCCGCTCTTCTTGCGGTACCTTTAATTAAAAATAGCTCGATCTAATTATCTAGTACCTCAATTGTCTGGAGATCGTCATCAAAAATACTATTCAATTTTCGGGGGGTTTAGAATTGTTCCACGAAAAAAAAAGGTTTTGCCGTCATTTCAGCATCAATCTGTGTTGATTTTATCCAGGTGCAGTGGTAGAGGGCTAACAGTGGACACAGTAATCAAAATAAAGACTTTTAGAAACTGATTTTAATCTCCGGGAAATACGAGAATTCATAGAATTTATGAGTCACTATTTTAATTACTGTGTCCACTGTGAGCCCTCTACCACTGTCACCTGTATAAAATCAACAGGTTATGGGCCCAGGAAGCGTGAGCAAAAAATTGTGAAATCAAAGAGGAGCTGTGAAGCAAACGCAAAACTTGGTACACACGAGAATTGAATACTGATTGTTCGTTGAGGTTTTACTAAAAATCTCAAAGGTTGGGACAATTATTTGGACTGGAAATTCCAGATGAGTGCCTCGTTAAAACGAAAATGTGGATGCTGCTACAAGAGCATGCCATGCAGAAATCCTTTCCTTGGACAAGTCAACATAGACCCTTATGTGATACAATCAAAAACTCCTGAAGCCTGGAATGCACTCGAAAAGACATTTGGGGACAAAGGACTCCATTGAAGATTGTTGCGGAATTTGAATTCCATCAAACTTGAACGCTTCAATAACATGGAGGATTATGTGATCGAATGAAATTCTGGCTTTGTCACAACAACTTATGTCGATTGGTAAGCCCCTGGATGATGAATTTCTTGGTGTTAGCATGCTACAAGGACTTACAGAAGAATACGAATCAATGGTGATGTCACTTGAAAATTCTGGTGTGGATATTGCATCAGATTTTGTCAAAACCAAATTGTTGCTAAAACAAGAAAAAAATATCGTAACAAAAATATTATATTGTATGTATTCCCGTATTTCACGGGGATTGAAATCAGTTTCTATAAGTCTTTATTTCAAATACTGTGTCCACTCTGTTAGCCCTCTACCACTGCCACCAGGATAAAATCAACACTCAGTACCTCAATTGACTGAGGATCGTCTTCATAAAAAATACTGAATTTTTGGAAGGAATAGAATTGATTCACGTATTTTACCGGCGAAAGTAAAGGCCTCATTTCCAGCAATCTTTGTGATTTTTTTTTCAATTTCGATGGTAGATTTCTCAGAAAACCAATAGAGATTGAAACTAACAGATTTTAGATTATTTTTCAGCACATCGAGAACACCCTGTACCCTGTATGCAAGTTGTCTGTCAATTATTTCTGACGCCTCTAGTTGTCTGAAAAAAGTTAGTTTCTTTTTCAGACCCAAAAATCAACTTTGTCGTAGGGCCTCCAAATTTGGTTTACAGGGTCCTTAAGGGATGCCCTAGTGCAAAGTAGAAGCACAGCCTTGTATCCACTTTTCTTTTCTTGCGGTACCTTCAATAAAAAATGGCTCGATCTAGTAGAAGTCAGTTGCTCTCTATATTGTCAAGAAGTACAAATGCCTATGGAATAATATCACTCAAACTAGCGTGCATTTCAAGATCATCAATTATGAATTAACTTTTCCAAATTAAAACATCCAGTACAGTGTAGTTTCGATCAGGTCAGCGGAGTTCATAGACGTCCAGTTCCTGTAGAGTTTGCAAAAACCGCTTACCGTATGATAATACCTAGGTAACCAATATCGAAAGGTAATAGCCATTCATTTTACTTGATTCTTTGGGATTTTCTCTCCTCGTTTCTATAAAATAAAAGTATTCTTATTATTTCAATATATTTGTAGAGGGACAAATCAGATGATTTGCCCCAAAATGTCACTGCGTTTAACAAATTTTTCTATCAGGGAGTCTAAAAGAAAAATCCAGTAGCTTGTCAGTGACAATTTGTTTGAAAAAATTTTTGAAGGAAAGAAATATAGATATATTGAAAAAATATCGAATTTGTACTTATCTTTGGACGTTTCGGGACCGATTCTGCTCCCGTTCTCAACATGTAAATGCAAATTATTTTTCTTTGAAAGTTGTGCTGCGTATATAGTTTGACACTTTTCAGTGTCATACTGATGTTGGCATATGAATGAGTGATTTTAGTCTACAAATGAGTTACAGGATGTTTTCATTAATTGATCTTGAATCTACCATTTTCATGTTCAGTTTTCAGTAGTGAATACCATGTTCTATCAATATCAACTGAACAGGAAGCAATGCTATTGTCTCCGTTTAGAAGAATGCAAGCGGATTCCTTTATTTTTTTTTTTTGTTTGTTATCTGATTTGTCCCTCTACAAATATATTGAAATAATACGAATACTTTTATTTTATAGAAACGAGGAGAAAATCCCAAAGAACCAAGTAAAATGAATGTACCACCTCCTCGATTAACCTACAGACAGTATGTAATAGCCATTCCCATTACGGAAAATTGCAAACCTAGCATCGATTCCGAATATAAATAGTACCCGAGTCGATAAGGCATCATTATTATTGATACAAGTCATATAGTAATTATTATCAATTAAAAAATGTTCGCCGTCTCCCCGACTTCAATTCTGATGGCCAACCCCATGCTACACGTTGTAATGTAAGTACTGTTTTTTTAAGTGTTGTTTTGCGTTTGTGTTTCATTTGGCAAGCCATTATGTTCTTTTTCTTTGCTAACCTGCCATGTGGCAAGCATTTATCCACGATTTTTCCATTTAAATTGCGACAATATGTCATAGTTACCTGCAGACCAGTAAGTTTTTCTACACCTCAAATCAATACACTAGATCAACTCAAATAGCGATTTATTCACTATCCAAATCATCGATCTCAAATATAAAAAAATAAATGTAATCAGTACAATCACACCATAATACTTAAATCAACAAATTGTTTTCTATTTACATGTGTTTCAACATATAACAATGAACTTAAAAATCTATTTCGCGTTTCTAGGAAGTCAAAAAAACATCAAAGCAATGAAAACATAAAGCGAAATTAAAACAACATAATGTACTGCACAACAAAAAAAAACTATACCACTTGGATAAAGACAATTTATCAAAACGAAATTTTGTAGCGAGTAAATTGTCGATGAAAAAAAAAATGTTCATTTCAACCACTGATATTTTCCTCGAGTAACCAACCTTTTAATCCACGGGGTCTTCGCATCTGTTGAGCTCTTGCAACTGCTCGTAGTAGTCGGAAACGTTTTGTTTGTGTTCTTTTGTGATGAGATGTCTCCGCACTTCGTGAACGGTCACAAAGAGCGTCTGACACAAATGACATTGTGATTCTATTGTAGGAACATACCTGAAAAATTCATTTGAACATGAAAGAAGGTTAGACTAGTGTATTTTTTCAAAGGCAGTAGAGAAAAAGCTTTTTCAAGGCTTACATGGAGGCAGTAAAGTAGCACTGTTATTGTTCAGGCAGTAAAAGTGAGTATTTTCTACATCCCAGGCAGCAACTTGACAATATTCAGTGCCAAATACAATTGTTTTATTAGGATCAAAAGTGGACACTCTGTTTGACAAGCGAATTTTGTATTTGCGAGGCGGAGCGTCTAGCAAAGCCCAGCGAAAGCAAAATTTGCGACTTGTCCCAAGGGAGAATCTTTTTATATGGGAGACTGGAACCTTTGGCACGATAATACACTACAGTGCTTTACCACTAACCAAACCGATTTTTTTTTAAACGCCTCGACACGTGTTTCGCTAACTATGTTAGCATCTTCAGGAAAAGATCAAAACTAAATATCCTATTCTAGTGTGCTGCTTATACATATACTAGGTATATGTTCACCCAACCGTGAAAAATACTAACCGTCAAGTTAATGTTTGTCATGGTTGAGTTCACATGTTAATATTAATTTTTATATTACTAAACTATATAGAGGCTTATATGGTTATTCATTACTCTATTACTATTCTTAAATATCTCTAAACTTTCATATGCTTCTAATTTTCTGATATTAACTTGCTTAACTAATTTAAGATTAGTAATATGTGTATTAGGATTGTGATTGAACATATGTTCGACTACACACGATTTATCTAACCTAGCATATTTTAAATGTGCCACGTGTTCTTTGAACCTTGTTTTTATGGGTCGCCTGGTTTGGCCTATATATGTTTCATCACAATCATTACAACTTATTTCATATATCCCCGACTTTTCAATTGTGTCCACTTTAACTTTCGGATCGCCAAATAAATTGCCTTATTTTGACCCAGAATGATGAACGCTTTCAAAACCTGAGTCTTCGAAAACCTTATCAAGTCCCTTCGTATTCGCGGGATTTAACGGAATTGGGATTCTCTTAGAGTTATTTTTATCCACTTGAAAAGTCGTAGAATTTCGAAGTGTTAACTCAAATTTATGTCTACGTATTAATTTATCTACTATTTTGATATCATAGCCATTGTTGCCAGCCACCAAATAAACCACACTTTTTTCAGCATCGAATCTTTCGTTGCTCAGAAGGAATGAAATCAATCTATGTACTAGAAAATTAAAACTTGTCATTTTGTGTCGAAAACAGTGATTGGAGTCATTAGGTATGTATCTGAATGTGTTAGTTCATTTTCTAAAAACATCAAATTCTAGGTTGTTTTCGCTATTTTTGATCACAATTTGATGGAGGAAAAGCAGTTATTTAATTTAATCTAAGTCTGAGGTTTCTGTATCAAAAATAGCAAAAATATCATCGACATATCTAATCCAAACCCTAGGGAAATACTCGAATTTTCCTTTTGCGTTCGCTTCAAATCGGTTCATGAACAGTTCAGCCAGGAAAGGCGATAAACAATTTCCCATAGCTGTACCTTCATTTGTTAAAAAAATTCTTGTCTATATCGAAAAATATTTTGGCTCATGCAGGGGTTAGTGAGATCAACCAATTCTCTTCAATATTTTCTGGATCTAGGTTATTATATTCGAGTAAATTCCATTGAATATTCCAAAGTTGTTGGTATGGGTACACTTGGAAAGAGTGATGAGATATCAAATGATATAAGGATTTCACCTTCGGTCAGATTCAAACCTTTGACCTTTTCGATAAATTCAAGCGAATTTATGAGCGATCAAAAATAGCGAAAACAACTGAGGATCTGATGTTTTTAGAAAAGAAACCAACACATTTAGATACATACCTAATGACTCCAATCACTGTTTTCGACACAAAATGGCGAGTTTAAATTTTCTAGTACATGGATTAATTTCATTCCCTCTGAGCAAAGAAATATTCGATGCTGAAAGAAGTGTTGTTTATAAAGTAGCTGGCGTCAATGGCTATTAGGTACATCCAAACAGTAGATAAATTCATACGTAGACATAAATTTAAGTTAACACTACGGAATTCTACGACTTTTCAAGTGGATAAAAAGAACTCTAGGAGAATCCCAATCCCGTTCAATCCCAAGAATACGAAGGGACTTGGTAAGGTTTTCAAAGACTTAGGTTTTGAAAGCGTTTATCAGTCAGGGTCAAAATTAGGCAATTCATTAACAATAAGTTGTAATGATTGTGATGAAACATATATAGGCCGATCCAGGCGACCCATAAAAACAAGGTTCAAAGAACACATAGCACATTCAAAATATGGTTGGTTAGATAAATCGTGTGTAGCCGAACATATGTTCAATCACAATCATAATACACATATTACTAACCTCAAATTAGTTAAGCAAGTTAATATTAGAAAACTAAACGCATACGAAAGCTTAGAGATATTTGAGAATAGTAATAAGGATAATGGACCTATTCCATATAGCCCTCTATATAGTTTAGTAATATTAAAATTAAGATTAACATGTGAACTCAACCATGACAAACATTAACTTGACGGTTAGTATTTTTCACGGTTCGGTTTATATAAGCAGCACACTGGAATAGGATATTTAGTTTTAATCTTCTCCTGAATATGCTAACATAGTTAGTGAAACACGTGTCGAGCCGTTTAAAAAAATCGGTTTGGTTAGTGGTAATACAGTATAGTGGAGCATCTTGTCTTCTGAAAAGTAACGATTAGGTTAGCGTCGACTTACGTTCTCGCAATCTCCTGCAACTCGTCGAGATTCTTGGCGATCTGCGTGCTGTACTCGCCCGTCTTGTTCAGACGGACGAACCACAGCAAAGGCCAAATGTCCTCGGACTCCTCGCTGACGTTCGGCTTCAAGGTGACGGTGTCGACCATGTTCTTGCTCCACACGTTCGCGTACTTTACGTTCATCCTTTGCACCGGCTTTCTGTGAGCGTATATCAGGCTGGAAACGGAAAAGGATGTTGGGTTGCAAAGAGAGAGAAACTCAAAGTTATTACCACAATATGAATTTTTTTGTAGCTGTTGCCACAACCTTTTTATCCCCATGCCATGGATGTAGTTTCTGATATTAAAGCTGATGATAGACATATCTATGTCCGAAACGTGTACCAATTTTGATTGATGTGTTGATCATATATGTCGTGGAGATGACTTTCTGTATCATTTAGTATTTAGTTCTTATATACAGGCTGATTTTAAAATGAGTGCATATATTCAAGACATATATATGAGAGAGTCTAACAAAAATTACTAAAATATTTGATTTTTCCTAAGTCTTCACATTAACGAGAAATTTCATTTTGAAAATTGAACATAAAATGCTTCGAAATTCGAGTACGCCACTGGGAAGCAAGTGAAATCTGCGGAATCCTAGGGAATCCACAATTCGTCATTCACTAAAGTCAAAACTAGACAGTGATGCCAGATTGTTTCAGAGACGAATATCCTGATAAAAATTTGTCACAGAATGAACATGAATTGAAATATGTTATGGAAACTAATAGAGGTGAATGTAATATGTACAGGAGCCTTATTTTTTAAAGTTTACTGATAGAACTTTGGGGTGATTATCTCCATGGATCACGAGAGACGGAGAGAAACATGAGGGGAATGATAGAACGTCCCCCTTCCTTCAATTCGAAAATAAGGCCCCAGCGGGTAGATACAAAATCAGCAGACAATAAATAGGTACACAACATACACAAAGTTGAAAATCGACTCACCTAGTAGATTTTCTCATACCTGCTCGAACAGCAAAACTCCCGAGAGCAAACAAATACTAATATCGATTCCATTCCATCCAATTATTTTATTTTTTATTTTACGTTTACAATTATTTTACAAACCAGCCGACACAAACAAAACTATTTTCATATGATCAGTCAACATCAAAAACATCATTTCTCCAAACAACAGTATCTGACTATCTGTGACCATAGATTCCCTCTTTGCTGTGACCTTTGACAGTACTAACTAGGATTGTTCGCGTTCTATTACTATTTCACGAAGATTGTTACGATATTACGATTTGTCATGAATCTATTACTATTTGCTATTAGCACCGAAATATGTTCCAATACTAAAAAATCTATTTCTGTGCTCAGCGGATAATTATGTTCCGTTCTATGTTCTATATTTATGTCAAAACTGTGATTAGTGCGATAGGGTTTGACAAGAATGACATTCCGAATGTCAAATGTCAGATTTTTCGAGTCTATTACCTTTTGATACAAATCTGATACCTTTTTCCAAGGAAATCTATTACGAAAAAATCAGACCCAGGAACAACACTGACTAGTAAATGTAAAGTTTTGTTTCTGACAATTTGCTTGGAAAGTGACGATGCATTTCTCAAACATTGAGCTGAATGATATGGTTCTTATGTCGGGTCGTTATTGTGCGGGGCCCATGAGACTCCTCGAATGACACGAAATTGTAGCGATGCAAGGAGGTGGAAGGAAGGGTCTAAAGGATTTTTCAGTAAAAGAACTTCCAAGGGGAGGTGTTAAGATATACGCTTTTCTAGCTTATGTGTACAAATCTTGGGTGAGTCCATTTTAAAGTTTTTGTATTATCTTTCTGAAATTCAAGACCAGGGTTAACTTCTTCCCCATGTACATTTTCTCGATTATACATTTTATTTAATATCTCCTAATTGTCATGTAGAGTGGCAACGTCGCTTCGTTCATCACGGTCGACTGCGGATCGCAAACGATAGTTGTGACAGAAGTAGAAATCTGAGCGGAAAAAGGGTATTTTGCCCCAAATCTATTTTGATCCTAATAATATTTTTAATAGTGCTATTCGGTAGTATACCTCTAGCTTTCTTAGTGTTTAAAATATATGCACTTATTTTAAAATCAGCCTGTATATTGTAAGTACCCAATTTCGACGAAAGAATCATAATATCATACTCAGACAATCCCAGATACTAATTTTTAATAGAATTGGATCATGATTACAAAACCCGTCCGCCATGTTGTATCCGCCATATTGAATATTCTAATTTTAACAGAAGATTCATAATCTCCGACCTTATAAATCCCCAGATACCAATTTTGATTAAAACCGAATCTTGAATTTTCCAATTCTGACGAAAGAATTTCCATCTCCAACCCCGGAAATCCCCAAATACAAGTTTTGAGTAGAATTGGAAGATAATTACAAGACTCGTCCGTCATACTGGATCTACCATCTTGAATTTTCAAATTTTGGCGAAAGAGTCATAATCTCCGATCCCAGAAACCCCCAGATACAAATTTTGAATAGATTCAGATCATAATCACAAAAGTCATCCGCCATATTGGATCCGCCATCTTGAATTTGCCAAATTTGACGAATGAATCTCCGACCTCGAAAACCCCCAGATACCAATTTTGAATACAATCGGATCATAATAACAAAACTCGTCCGCCATCTTGGAGGCGCCATTCTGTTTTTTGTCTAACAAAAATTTCATGATGCATTACCACCCGAACTATGTATACCTGCCAAATTTTAAATCAATCGGTCCGTTTAAAGTGAGTCAAAATTGAGTCCAAAAGAGTCGGTTACATACATACATTCAAAAAACATTTTTGACTTCTCACACCCGTTGTGTTATGACCTGCAGAAATTCAAGATATTTGTATTGTTTTCAAAAGTTACTGAATCCAGGGTCAGTCCCATCCCTACCAGCTTTACTGTAATTTGCAAATCACAAGTTTAGAAAAACAATAACAGAAACTGTTTAGACAAGCATTTAGGTTTTATAAGAACTCCAATGAAGACGCAAAATAAAACAAATACACTTCTGCCACTTTGGAGAACGAAAGATCCAATTTATTTTCATCATTTTGTGTAAATAAAGATATTAATTCGTTTGGTAGTCAACGCTAATATTGTCAAGAAGTAAAAATGCCTATGGTTTAACATCACTCAAACTCGCGTTCATTTCAAGATCTTCAGCTATAAATCAACTTCTTTAAATTGAAACATCCAGTACAGTGTAGTTTCGATCAGGTCAGCGGAGTTCATAGACGTCAGTTCCTGTAGAATTTGCAAAAATCGCTTACCGTGCGATAACACCTAGGTAAGCAATATCGAAAGGTAATGGCAATTCCTATTGCGGAAAATTACAAACCTAGCATTGATTCCGAATATAAATACATAGTATCCAAGTCGATGAGGCATCATTATTATTGATGCAAGTTCTTAGTAATTATCCATTGAAGGATGTTCGCCGTCTCCCCGACTTCAATCCTGATGGTCAACCCCATGTTAGACGTTGTAATGTTAGTATTGTTTTTTTCAAGTGTTGTTTTGCGTTGTGTTTCATTTGGCAAGCCATTATGTTCTTTTTCTTTGCTAACCTGCTATGTGGCAAGCATTTATCCACGACTTTTCCATTTAATCAATAAAAATGTCAAATTTTATATGAAAACTGTCTTGACTCTTTATTTGGGGATGTATCTGGTTGGGTGGTGTTAAGTTACGACCTATAGCAGGGCCAACATCTGAGATGCGACAATATCTTCTACAGAAGATGAATCAAAAGTTTGACAGAAAAATGTATAATAAAACAAGAACTCACTCTACTAAATCCTTCTTGAGGGCTTTCTGTGTCCTGACCAACTCTTCTTGATTCAATACTTCTTGCGTCAACTCGTACATCAATTTCATACCTTGGTTCATATAAAATCGAATTCTATTGATCTGAAAATACAAACAAAAATATTCAACACCTCATCAATTTTAGATTGATTGCGAAGCCACACACTTTACCCTCCAATATCAAGTATATCCGATTTAGTGAGCTAATCAAAATAGAGAAAAGTGCACAAAAAATGGTTAGTGCCTTACCTTCTCAATCTTTCGAGGTCTTATTTTTAAATTTCGTGGGTAGCAAGTATACCAAATATTTATTTATTGACAATTGACATTTTATAAAATGTTACTTTTATACACTATTGATGGCTTTTGTTGTGCTACTTCTAAAAAATAAGTCAATAACACCGCCTCCAAGAAAGAACTGCAAGTCCTTTTATCTTCCATTCCACCTCGAGGTTAGTTAAATTCGTAAACAGCCACCAAGTTCACAATTTTTTTAAATGAACTCACAGAATTAGACTGACAGATATTTGATGACTTCAAATGAATGATAAAGATGCCTGCAACGCAGGTGTAATTCCTGTTAAAAACTTCACATTTAACATCGATAATTTTCTGATTTTAATATAATGTGATATCTTCTCAATATTGATTCGTCCTTTTTTCCTTTCACCGAAAAAAAAAATAGTGTAACATAATATATACGGGAAAAATACTAGATTTTAGCTCACGGTTTTTTGTATGATTGAAAACACAACCTCGAGCTAAAATCACTTCCGGTTGAAGCAAGAAATGGCAATTTGGAATGAGTCCAATAATTTGGACCTAAAAGGATTTTTCTGAAACATTTACGACTACAATAAGTATAAGTTGTGAACAACATCTCATTCAGTGAAGTTTGCATCCAAAATATGTATATCCGGTCAAGTAGGCTAATCGAAATTTTTTGGAGCGCACGAAAGGGAATTCCTATAATTATCAAACAACTTGCAAGGTATATTTTTATAAGTATCAACAGCATTTGTGAGTAACATCTACGGATTGAAAAAAAAAACAGATTTCAAGTAGTCATTCAAAGACGTTAGCAATAATTACAGTATTCAGACATTCTAAAATTTAGCGCAGTCGGTAAGATTTCTTTTCATTCACCTTGAAATACTTGCACCAAAGAACATTTCTTTGGGACATCTACCACAACAATAAGTTTGAACACCAATTGAATAACATCTCATTCAGTGAAATTTTGATACATACTTCCCTCCAATATTTATATATCCGCTGAGATTTTAGTTATAAATACCAGATTTTGAAATTAGGCGCAGTCGGTAGGATTTCTAGAATGGTTCAAAATTTTTGAGAATGCGCTAGAATGTTCTAGAATCTGACAAAGTGTAACAGAATGCTACAAAATCTTCCAGAAGGCTGTAAAATGTTCTAGAACGTTGTTAAATGTTCCGAAATGTTCGAGAATGTTATGAAATGAACAACGAGAACGTTATAAAATGTTTCAAAATAATCGAGAATGCTCTAGAATGTTATAGAACCATTCAGAATGTTGTAGAATCCTCCAGCAGGTTCTAGTCATTTCAAAAAAGTTTCAAGATGTTCTAAAATGTTTCAGAATATTCTAGACTAGTCTAGTATGTATTAGAATCTTCAGAAGAAGGCTCTAGAATGTTCTATGATGGTTTTCAATGTAAAAATTATGAGAATGCTCAAGAGTGCTCTAGAATCGTCTAAAATGTCTCAAATTATTCCAAAATGCCCTAGAATGTTATGGAAACATCCAGAATGTTCGAAGATACTCCAGAATGTTGTAGAATCTTCCACAAGGTTCTAGTAATTCCAAAATGTTGTAGGGTGTTCTAGAATTTTCAAAGATGTTAGAGAATATTCCAGAATTTAATGAAATCTTCCAGAATGCTCTGGAACGTTCTAAAATGTTTGAAAATATTCAAGAATGTTCTACAATGTTATGGAACCATCCAGAATATTCAACGATATTCCAGAATATTGTAAAATGTTCCAGAAAGATCTAGTATTTTCCAAAATGTTTTAAATTGTTTTAAAATCTAGAATCTTCTCCCAAAGTGTTCGAAAATGTTCCAAAATCACATGAAATCTTTTAAAAGGGTCTAGAACGTTCGAAAAGTTTCCAAACTGTTTGAAAATGCTCTAGAATCTTCCAAAATGCTCTAAAATGTTGTAGAATCTTCTAGTGTTCGAGAATATTATTAAATCTTCCAGCAGACTTCAGAATGTTCAAAAATGTAACAAAATGTTCTAGAATTTTCCAGAATGCTCCAGAATGATCTAGAATCTTCTAAAATGCTCAAGAACGATCTAGAACCCCCCACAACCTCACCTGATTTATCTCGTCCTCCGTCAACTCGGTATCCAACGTCATGACCAGATCGTGCGCCGGATAGAACGGCTTGTCGGTGTAGGGATTGAACCCGAGGCCGCACAGCAGCGACGCCACCCTCGTCACGTCCTCGGTCACCTTGGGTCTCATGGTCGGACAGAAGATGAGGGTGAGTAGCATGGGGAGGCCGGGCACGTTGGGCATGAGGGTGGTTTGACGGAGTTTGATGCGGCTGCCTGTCGCCGATTGGCTGACGTATCCCGCTACCAGCAACCTGACAAGGGGTGGAATGAGTAGAATGAAAAAATTAAAAGTAAAAAACATTTTTGAAAAAAAGCTTTCATTTGAACGCTCTAAAAAGGATAAAATGAAATGTTCCTTTATAATTTTAACTATCAACTTATAACATCATTCAACACGATGTTCTTTGAACATTATAGGGATTCCCTTTCGTGCGCTCCTATCGATAAAAAAAAAAAAAAAAAAAAAAAAAATACAAGTAAATCATTCGACAAGCTTTAATGATCATATAAATTGTGTATGATGAGTTTATAATTTGATAGTTAAATTTATAAAGGAATATTTTCTTTTACTCTTTTAAGAGCGTTTAAATAAAAGCTTCTTATCAGAAAAGCTTTTTTACTTTGGATTTATTTTTAAATTTTTAGTTATCGCTGGCTAGGTTTCTCAGTCTTTTCATTTCATTCAACGCATCATTGTTGGAAGGTCGTTTGCCGGTTAGTTTCGAACAGTCCAGCTCTTCAATTAGGAGACCTTCTAATGATTACATTATTTTCCGAGTTGCTCTCAACGAGCCCTTTCATTTGATACCCATATTGTAGAAGTGAATTGAAAAAAACTATTCCGCCATCTTGGACAGTCCGCCATATTGGATTCAAAATGACTTCACAGTATTTTTCGAGTTACTCTCAACAAGTCCTTTCATTAATTTGATTGATACCCATATTGTGGGAGTGCATTGAAAATAACTATTTCGCAATCTTGGATGGACCGCTATATTGGATTCAGAATGACGTAACATAATTTTTCGAGATACTCTCAACAAGCCCTTTTATTTGATACCCATATTGTAGGAGTGCATCAAAAATAACTATTCCGCCATCTTGAATGGTCCGCCATATTGGACTGAGAATAACTTCACACACCTTATCGTGCATTGTCATCCAAACTAAACGTGTATACAAAATGTCAGCTCGATCGGTTGATGATATCAACATCAAAATTGAGTTCAAAGATTCTACCCGGACAAACATATGTACATTGCAAGTTAAATAAAAGCTACTGAAACTTTTAATTGAAAAAAAAATGGAACGGTTCAAAACACGTTTCGGGTCTTTCGGGGCAGTTACACAGAGTGAAATTGAGCTGCTTATAGCTAGTGAAGGTGATTCGCGGTAGCCAACGTCATTAGATGACGTTTCGATTACATTCAAAATGAAGAGAAAACATCCTAACTCCTGGCATAGATTAGACATGTTTTTTCTTGAGTTTTCAATGACATTGCAACGTCATCTGATTACCTTGGCAACCGCGAAATATGTGGGTTCTAGCGCTTTTTGGGCAATTATCCTGCGGTACACAAAGACACAGTATGTCATTCCAGTTGGAGATTTTTGCTTCCACAGCGCAATGACGGCATGCGATAAAAAACCATACACTCTTCATCAAAATAAAGAGCGTTTTGATTGTAAATGGTCGAATTATAGTGTACCCATTTAAAAAAATACATTTGTTGCATTCGCTCTGACCTGCACTACGCTCATCTACAGTACATTATTTTTTTTGTGCTTACCTATAGCTACAATTATTTACTTACACCTATCTTCGTTCTCCCAGTATCTATGGTATTATTTTATTAGATTTTTTAATGCATATTAGAAATTTCAACCCAATCTGTCGAGCCGTTTTCTTACAAAATATCTTCTTCTTAACCATGCTAAATCTTTATATTTGGGTGTTAAGTATCTGTAGTTCAGCGATTTTGAATTCTTAATTTAATAAATAAAATCATTAAAACTTTAGAATTGGACCATAAATCTCTTCAAGAGCGAATAACACAAAAACCGTTCAAGTTAGACAATTTGTTAAAGAGTACATTTTTCATGTGAAATTGAACGAGCTTTCAGATTTTCCACTTATTTTGATCATCAATGAATTTCTTATCAGGCATATTGGACTAAATCTAATTAGTTTTGGGTTTACTATCTGTAGTTCTTGATGAATCACCCTGTATACCATATTCGGTAGGAAAGCTTACGCGGTAGGCCCGCGACTGGTATAGAAGTGTGAACATTGATGCACAGTTTACAGCATTGCCATATTTCAAGCCATCTGTTTCTAACTCATTTGAAACTTTGGAAGTATGTATGATTGTAAACAAATAGTGTTTTATGAATGAACTGTTATGTCTCCCCTCTTTTTATATGTCTATGGTTCCCAACTTCGAAGGAGCGGTATACAAAAAGGAAGTAGGCGAACAGAATGATCACAAATTTCGCCAGCAAATTAACAACATTGTTCTGTATGACTTCATGTTATAATTTACCTGGTATGGTAATCTTGGGGCTCGCTATCCAACAGCACCGTATTGATGGAGTTGCCCTCGATCTCTACGGATTTGTCAGCGGAACTCTCGATGCACCCGTACAATCTCATCTCCAAAGGGCTGTAGGGTCCTTTGAGCTCGATGGTCTTGCAATTCGAGCCAAGCTTCGGACCTTCAAAATCATGGTAACTTTCTACCTAATAAAAAAATACATTGAAAAAACCAATGAGGAAGTTTCCTTCGAACGAGTTATTAAAATCGCTATTCAAATAATTCCAATTTTGAAAATTCAGCTATTTAGAATTATTAATGAATGAAATGACTATGACGTTCTATCTAGATCTGGTGACATTTAGGGATATTTGTCTAGGTTGATGATGAATTCGGTCCCAGCAGGTAGCAGATTAGATTAAAAATTTTATACACGTTTATACCCTTTTATCAGTGATTAAATCCGTTCCCAACCATGCCAGTTATCAAGGGTTTCACAATACTTGCCTGCATAATCGATTTCCTAGAAAGAAGTAATTATGATTATTAGTGCAAATTTAACCTATCTAATGAATAGGCAACATTTCGTATTTCAATTCATTTCTGTTCCTGTTGTGAATTCGACATGAGCTAATCAAAGAGTTGTTATCGTTTTGTGTCTGTGTTTTGTTTAAAATAATATTTTCGATTTAGGATGGATCCTAAAATTATTTTAAGCGGAAGGGGAAGCCCTTGGCAGTTTTAAATAACTATAAGTATTGGAGTATTAGACAAACTTTCGACATTCTGGCGAGCATGAACATTCAGACATCTAAAGGTGAAAATTTTTTACTTTTTAAAGATACAACTGATGGAATTATGGTATTTTCTTGTCAAACAAATATTGAGTTCATCAGAAGAGTCAAAAGAATATATTTAGATGGCACATTTCAACTACTGCCCACAATTTTTTTGTCAGTTTTTTACCATACACGGGTATTATAAGGGCCACTATATTCCATAAATTTTTTCGTTACTACCCAACAAACGTAGTGAAACATATCAAAAGTAATTTAATAATCTGTAATAACAATAGTGTTACATTAGACATTTCTGAAGTTGTTGTCGACTTCGGAAAAGGTATAAGGCTGTCGATCAAGTTTGGCAATTAGCTCAAGTAATAGGCAGCCGATTTCATCTTTTGCAAGCATGGTATAGAAAAATTCAACAAATTGGTCTAATACCTGGTAACAAAGATGAAAGTTCCGACGCGGGACTATGCCTAAGAGTGACTTTTACGTTTAGTTTCCTGAATCCTGTGGAAGTCAGTGATTGTTTTGTATTTGACTTGCTCTCAATTGCACCTCCGAAAGATGAAAAAATTCAGATGTATTGCGATTATTTAATAGATAGTCACATATCTGAGGAGTCACTATTCCCTCCTACAGTTTGGGCTCAAAACTCAGCAGATCAGCAGAACTTACAAGGACTACCAATACTTGTGAATTTTTTCATAGACACGATGCGTTTTACAAGTCTCATCCAAACATTTTTGTTTTCGTTGATAAACTTGATGAGTTTCAGATTGAAACTTATGTAAAAATACAAAGTGTACATTTGAATGCCGAAATTATTAACAGTAAAGTTAGAAATCGAAAAATAATGTATTGCAAAAATGATCGATTCATATGTTAAAAACGAAATAATTCGTTTGCATTTCATTAAAAGTGTTTCATTTCACTGTGCGGTTTAATTATGATTTATTTTGTGTATTTTCAGAATATGAAGCTCTTATGGTATGTTTAGTATGTAGGAATGTGTATGACTTTGTATAACTTTATGTAATATATCATATCATTCAATACCTAACAAGATGTTATTATTTACTGAGTCCCTCACAAAACAATTTACCTGGGACCGAATTTACCTATGCAGTATCAGTTACAACAAAGTTTGGGACCGAATTTACTCCTTATATTTGGCCTAATAATTCTTGGGACCGAATTTACCTATACCCTTTGTCTATGTCTAAGTTTCGTGACGCCTACGTACCGGAAAATAAGAATAAGAAGAAAGCTGTCAGTATGGTCTGACCTTATTGTATTGAATTTTGGTAAAACAAAATCTCACAAAAGTTTTCAATTTTTTGGGCTTCTTTATTACATATTCTGAAAAAGGTCAGTATGAAACATTCATTATCCTGGATTTAATTTTGTCATCTTATGAATCCATAATTTCTTGAAGAATGTCGCTAGGTAGGTAACAAATATAAGTTTCAATGCACTTTCCATTTCCATAATATGGTGCTCACTGCATGATTCACTACAATATTCCTCATCAATTATATAGGTACTATCAAAATTTCATAATATTGAATGACACCAGGGTATGATTATTGATTATTCATAGTTCGAAATTCCCACGTACCTACCCCACAGCCCGCACGTATATAACAAAACCATTATTCAATATTGTTACGACCCTGGCGATCAATCCCAGCTACCTTCTACGGAAGTAAATAAACCGTATTTCTTGGAATAGAAATGAAGTGGATCGACGGCTATTGAGATGACTCGAGAAGATTATCGACCTGTTCACGATATTTCGAGTGGAATCTAGACGTTTTATTAGGTAGTATAAATAGTTGTTGTTAGGGACAGGAAGGGAAGTCTTTATTTTGGAAGCGTTATAATAACGATCGAAGAAGTGTTGTGAATCGGAAGTGTTTAGTACGAGTATTGTAATTATTGTATAGTAGTGTTCAGAATAAATTATTTTAAGTGTTATACCGAGTGTTAAGTTATTACGGACCCAGAGTAAAATCGTAACAATATGTATCATCATTCCATGGATCCAATCCAAAGATCTAAAAATTGATCTAATCTAAACTTTGATGTTTTTTTTTTGATGATTATTATGTCATTTTGATAGTATGTGGTTGTCACACGGTTGTCATCAAATCAATGTCATATACTTTGCCGTTTTTATGCGTTCCTACACATTTCTTACAACAGAGAATCACAAACAAACGCGACAATTGTTAGCTGTACAGTCTGCGTACATGCCTTTTCTAAGTAGTACAGGGTGATTCACCATAAACTTTCCCCCCCTGTAGCTCACTTATTTTTGAACCGATTTGAAAATTTGGAAAATCATCTAAAATGATTTTACAGAAATTTTTTTCCCGTTGCATCAGAAAATACAGGGTGCTCGGACCAAACGATCTACAGAGTACTACTTGATTTTTTCAAATGGAACACCCTGTATTTCATTGTATTTTTAGATTCTTCCTGAAGAGCTGATTTTATCAATGCATCACACTTGGGGTCCAGCAGAAATGATTACAGAGATATAGGGTGTTCAAAATCGAGATTTTCCAACTTTAGGATTTTTTTGTGTCGAAACTATTCATTATTGGTCAAAACGGCTTTAATGTCCCTATCTCAACTTTTGATTAACTATCTACTGATATTTAATTGGGACATATACAGTGTGATTCAAGATTCAGAATTCTGATCACCCTGTATCTGTTCCAATTATTAAATGTCAGTAGATAGTGAATCAAAAGTTGAGATACGGACATCAAAGCCGTTTTGACCGATAATGAATAATTTCGTCACAGAAAAATCCTATAGTTGAAAAATCTCGATTTTAAACACCCTATATCTCTGTAATCATTTTCGCTAGACCCCAAGTGTGATACATTGATGAAATCAGCTCTTCAGGGAGAATCTAAAAATACAATGAAAAATAGGGTGTTCCATTAAAAAAAATAAAAAAAGTACCCTGTAGATCGTTTGTTCCGAGCACCTTGTATTTTCTGATGTAGTGGAAGAACTTTATCGAAAATCATTTAAGATGATATTTAAAATTTTGCAATCGGTTCAAAAATAACTGAGCTAGAGGGGGGGACATTTATGGCGAATCACCCTGTACGTCATAAAAATGGTGGAGGAGCCAAATTCGACCGCACGAAAAAAATATTGAAAAATTGTGTTCAATGAATTTTCATAAACTAAGCAGAGGAATGAAAATTCGAATGTTGGAAATTTGTTCATCTCTCTCGAAGATGGTTGAACTTTGTTACCTTGTCGTGGCTAAGCCTAACCGCTTCCTGATTGGGATTATCAGCTCTGTGGACCTTCTCCCTTTTGGCGTGGTCCTCCTTGGAGAGGAAACTCTCGACGGCCGGCTCGGCATGGCCCAAGTCCAGCATCATCTGGTTCAAGGATTTGATTTGTTTCTGCAAGACAAGATTTTCGTCAATAACATTTCGAGTTTCAAACAATCAACAAGAACAACGAATATATTGAATAATACCCCAATATGTTTCATTAACAAATCCATTGAATATACAAATGTAACAAAAATTTTAGGTCTTTATATTGATGAAGAATTATCGTGGACTCTACATATAGATCATTTGAGGAAAAAATTGAATCCTATTGCTGGTACAGGGTGTTTCTTAAGTACGTGTAGAAAATTGAGGAGCATGTTGCTGACGTCAAAATAAGAAGAAAAGTTTGTATAAATATATGTCCGAAAGGTCTTCGTTTCTGAGATATAAAATGTCAAAGTTGAATTCTTATTCTTGTTTTTTTGTTGATAAATTCCGAAATTATTGTGATATTCGAATAAAGTTTGGTATCTATGGATATTTTTCAATGACACTATCAAATTTTATGTTGCTTTGTCTCTTTCGTGGGGTCGGCGCCATCTACATGTCTTTTGAGACTAAATTGATTTCTAGAACACTTTTGTGTAAAAAATATATTCCTGGTTGAGGTCACTGCGAGCAACTGTTTTCGAGTTATTGGGATTTGAAATAATCGATGATTCTTACTTCTTTGTACCTAATTTGTTGGACTCTTCCAATTCAAAAAAATAACAATCAATCAAATGATCATCGACTGTCGTATCACCAGACATTCAGAAACGTTTTTCAGCGTCATATAGAGTCTGGATCCTTCATAAAAGCTCCAGTGATAGGCAGACTGTTGACTACTAAGACCCCAGAAATTGAAGAAGCTGTTCTTCAGGCAATCAAAGGATATCCACAGACAAGCACGAGAAAATTGTGCAAAATCTTACGAGCCCCATGGAAATAATTAAAATGCATATTATTTCATATCCCAATACCATAAAAACAGTTGCTCGCAGCGACCTCTACCAAGAATATATTTTTAACACAGTGTTCTAGAAATGTATTTTTCTACTATGAAACGTGATACAGGTACGCACAAAGAAGTTTTGACTTTCCAAAAGACTCAAAAGACAGGTGGCGCCACCCCCACGAAAGAGAAACTATCATAAAATTTGATATTGTCATTGGAGAATACCCCTAGATACCGAACTTCATTCGAATATCACAATTATTTTGAAATTTATTAACAAAAAACAAAAAATAAGAGTTCAACTTTGACACTATGTATCTCAGATAGATAGATAGATTCTTTATTGCTTTCAAAGACATTACAGTCCTATAGCAAGGATTCGGTTATTTCTGATAAACACTTTACATGGAAATGTGTACAATGCAAATTGTAATAATTGTCACTATACATATGTGCAAATATAAACAGTTTTGATTAATAACAAAAAAACGAACAGGAAGAAAGAATAGGGAAATGAGGCAAAGTTGATGATATCACGAAGTGCTACTCGTTTCTTGAAAATGACACTATGTATCTCAGAAACGAATAACTTTCGGACATATATTTATAAGAACTTTTTTTCTCATTTCCATTTCGTTATTATTTTCAGAAATTTTTAAATCGCTGGATAACAGCAATCTATCTTTGTATATTTTCCTCGACCTCTTAAAGGCGTTTGACACTGTGAGTCACACGCAATTATTGGACACCCTGGAATATTTAGGAATTCGTGGTACTGTACATCGATTAATATCCAGTTATCTGAATGGGAGGAAACAATTCGTGAAGATAGGAAATAAAATGAGTCAAGATCAAATAGTAGAATATGGAGTTCCACAGGGCACTGTTCTGGGTCCCATATTGTTCACAATATATATATCAACAGTTCACTCTATTTGAGGAGCTCTGGGAGCATTATCAGCTATGCCGACGACACTGCTATTTTCTATGAAGATAAAACCTGGGAGAATATAAAAATCAAAGTAGAGAACGACTCGAGTGATATTGTTAAATGGTTTGACCATAAATTATTGACCATAAATAATGAAAGAACTAAATACATTGCCTTTTCTTCATATCAAAACGGTCTCTCTGAATATTCCAGCTTGAACATTGGCTACAACAATTTGGAGATTGAATCTACTAGTAATATTAAATACTTGGGTATCACGATTGATTGTCACCTTAGGTGGAACACTCATATAAGTAATGTAATAAAAACACCGAAAAGTACATTGTTCAAATTCAAATATCACAGTAAAATATTAGATACCTATCACATGAAAATCATTTACTCTTCCCTAAAAGAATCAATGCTTCAATATAGTATCCTCACTTGAGGTGGAGCGGCAACAGCTTATATACAGAAACTAGAAAAAGTGCAGAAACGCTTCATAAAAATGCTCAAAAAGGGACAAGCTTACCCGACTGATGCCTTGTATAACGAATCACGAGTGCTAGACATAAAATAATTATTCTTCAAATCCATTGTTGCATTTATATACAAACACAGGAATTCGTTGAATGCTATCGATCACATATACAATACAAGACAGAAAACAGGACATCAAGTAAAAGTCACTTTTGCATACAAGGCAATTGGACAAAGGAATTTTGCATATCTCTCCACAAAAGTTTTCAACTTCCTTCCACAACAACAGAAAGATAATATCCATAGTATACATTCAAAATATCTGTTCAAAAAGAAATTGACAATTTGTTATCTACTCCAGACTGATAGTCGTATCATAGATTCATTATTATCCTGACGCTGTTTTATCCCATCTCCTATTTGTTTCTACTTCAATTCTGTTCATTAAAATAAAAAATCCCGTATTCAAATATCAACATCTATATATCTTAATGTTTTGTCCATGCATTGTAATAATTATATTATTATAACTCATAATATTTATGTTCATTGTTTATCATTATTATCATTAACATCATTATTATTAACATTTTTATCATCATTACTATAAATGCCATTATCATTGTTATCATTCCCACTACCTATCGTTTTGTTATATCATGCTTTTATTATTGATACTAACTATTAACTCTTGAAAAGTAAAAACCCACGTACAACTTCGGTTTTTGTCGGCTATCTATGTTTATTTATTTATCCATCACACTCAATTTATTAGGTGAATAGGTAATATACAGGGTGAGTCATAACTATTGGGACATAGGCTAAGGGCGGATTGTTTGGACCAAAATATGACGATTGGACCAAAAAAGAAAGAGAGATACAGGGCGTTAAAGTTGATTTTTTTCGTTTTTTTGTCAGTTTTTTGCTAATAATTTCACTGTAAATGAGATATATTTGAAAAAGTTTTGTGATTTGTTTGCTTTCTGCCTAGATATTAGATATATTACAATTCATACCTTCTGACTGCATCCCGTATTTCTTCATTCATAAAATGATTGTGACGAGGCATTTCAATCGAAGAAATTTTGACTATAAACTCGCACCAAAATTCATTCTCTGACAAGAAATGTCATTACCAGCAACATTATCTGACAGTTCAAAGCACACTCTTTATGAATGATATAATATTTGTAATTAACTTCTGAGACTCTGAACTGTTCAATAGCGTTTTTCTCGAAAACGGATGAAAATATCGTGTTAATTTAACGTAGAAATGATGTTTAGGTCATATTTTTCAATCGAAATCACTCAAAAGTTTCGTCAAAAAAAGTAACCAGGCGATTTCATCATCAGGAATCATTCACGTGGCGCCCCCTGTATCAAAATTCAGAATAGTACATAAAATGATATTCCCTGTATGAAATTGTGCCTCTGTGCCAATTTTGATAACAATTGATGTATATACAGTGAAATTATTAGCAAAAAACGAAAATAAAAAGTAAACTTCAACGCCCTGTATCTTTTTCCACAGCAATATTCTATAAAGGCATATTTAGTCCTATCGCCATATTTTGATCCAAACAATCTGCCCTTATCTTATGTCCCAATAGTTATGACTCACCCTGTATAATACAATATAATTTTTAACACATTAGGATCTCACAAACTCACACTCACTGTGGTTCAGTTCACCTCAATTTTTCAGTGACAGATCACTACGTTAATATAATATCTAATCAATGTACCCACCTGTTGTAATTGTATTGTAATAATAGTAATTTATTATACAAGGGAAAAAAGTAGTAGATTTTAGCTCCAGGTTGTGTTGTCTCCCGACGCGTAGCGGAGGGAGACAAAAAACCGTGAGCTAAAATCTAATAGTTTTCCCGTGTATATTACACTATTTTTTTCTGTGACAGAAGAAAGGACGAACCAATATTGAGAAGATATTACATTATTTTGAAATCTGAAAATTATCGACGTGAAATTTTAAGTTTTCAACAGTAGGGACACCTGCGTTGTAGGCATCTTTATCATTCTTTTGAAGTAATCAAATATCTGATGTCACTTCTGTCAGTCTAATTCTGTGATTTGATTTAAAAAAATTGCGAATTTAGTGGTTGTTTGGTAACATACCTAACCGCGTAGCGATTTTACTAAATATAAACTATTGCAGCACAAGACACGCCCCCTACTTCGGCATTGCAAAATATAATCGAGCCCAGCACAATCCTGCAAAATCTAATCTTTGACAGCACAACGTAGCTGATTCATATAAATAAATCGATTGAAAAAGTAGCACATACCACGTTATATCTCATCTTCAAAGTACTTTACTTAGGCAAAACTCAGAGACTATTTATCCTCAACGAACTAACCTATCCCTGATTGCAATATTTTTGAGGAAGGAAAACCGAATGGAGTGTAGAAACACATTGATTAATAATATATTTCAAAAGTTGAGTTCTTCAACAAAATTGAATAAAATGAGACTGTTTATCCTAAACGCACTAACCTATTTGACTTCAAATATTTTATGAAAAAGGAAAACCAGAATGAAGTAAAAAAACATTGGTGAAAAAAAAAAGTTGCAAAAAAAAGTTCGAGTTCACAGCGATTCGAACCATGAACCTTCAGACTGAGAGTCGACAGCGCTAACCAGTAGACCATTTGGGTGTATGAATTTACTGCGTACAAGAGATTGACAACGAGAAAGCTTCAGTTCTTGCGTTGGAGCACAGTATGAGATATGACGTATTATGGTGGGCGTGTCTTGTGCTGCAATAGTTTATATTTAGTAAAATCGCAACCGCGTAGTCGAGTGGAAGATAAAAGGACTTGCAGTTCATTCTCGGAGACGGTACCTATTATTGACTCATTTTTCGGAACTATAGCACAACAAAAGCCATCAACAGTGTATATTCATGAGATATACAGTGTCATTCATAAAGTCAGCATCATATGGGAAACACTTTTATTAATGACTTATTTTGAAATTCGAGTTGGACGTCGAGTTTTGCTTCAAAAAAGATGGAAAATGGCCTACTCAATTGGGGTCACGTGACTTTCGCTACATGTCAAAAGTGACATTTTTTCAAATTAATCGCTGAAAGTAGGCTTATTTGTTCGAATATCGAAAAAGTTTACTTGAAAAAGTTGTTTCTATTCCAATTTTACATATGTGACTCGGATTTTATCTTTCTATTACATTTTTTAGATTTCGATATTTTTTAAAAATTTTCGAAATTTCTGTAATATCAAAAAAATTGTAAATTCGATAAAACTACTTCATACCAGTAGCTCCATCATGCTACTAACTTTCAATAACTAATTATCACTAATTATCGACAAAAATATGATTTTCTTCAGAAAATGATAATCTCCGCTTCAAAATTCTGTTATGTTTGATGCAAACATAACATCAAAATGCTGTTCTGTTTGAGTCAAGCATTTAGAAACAAAATTCATTTGAATTCATTTTTTCAGTACTGAAAAGATCAGTTTAAATGAATTTCGTTTCTTAATGCTTGACGAAATATCAACTTTGCATCAAATATAATTTGGAAGCGGGTATTATCATTTTCTGAAGAAAATTATATTTCTGTCCATAATCAGTGATAATAAGTAATTGAAAGTAAGAAGCATAGATAAGCTACTGGTATGAAGTAGTTTCGTGAAATTAACAATTCTCCAAATATTACAGAAATTTTCAAAAATTAAAAAAAAATCAAACTCTAAAAGTTGCAATAGAAAGATCAAATTCGAGAAGCATGTGTAAAATTGAAATAGAAACAACTTTTTCAAGTAAACTTTTTCGATATTCGAACAAATAAGCCTACTTTCAGCGATCAATTTGAAAAAATGTCACTTTTGACATGTTGCGAAAGTTACGTGACCCCGATTGAGGCCATTTTTTATCTTTTTTGAAGCAAAACTCAACGTCCGACTCGAATTCCAAAATAAGACATTAATAAAAGTTTTTCCCATATGATGCCGACTTTTTGAATGACACTGTATATCCGAGAAAAAAGTACTCACTTTTTTCCCACGAGAAAAAAGTAATTTATGAGAAGTGACATTTTATAACCTGCCAACAGAGATGAAATACCAAATTTTTTTCCCGTCACAGAAAAAACATCATTATTATATTATTATTATTATTATTATTATTTTGACGTCAGCAACATGCTCCCGAATTTTCTACACGTACTTAAGACTTGTTGTTGGAATTAATATCAGAAGGCTAAATAAATTACTACTACTACTACTAATATTTTTCATCTAGTCACTCTAAGGGGGAAACATTACCCTTCCCGGATCGCTCTTGTACACCACCAGATAGACGACGTTGTCGACCACGGAATGGACCTGGCCGAACAGCAGCACGTTGTAGGTCTGGTTCTTCCAGTGCTCGTTCACCTGCTCGGTCCACAGGCCCTTCGGGTTCAGCTTCATCGAGGGCTGGACGCCGTGCAGGATGCACTCGACGCCCAAGGGCGGTAAGAGGCATTCGGGCCGGTCGGGCAGCAAGTAGAGGCCGTACAGCGGCATCTGCTGGATGTTGCCGTAGTCGATGAAGATCACCTATAACATACATATTTTTTCATGTATACAGGCTGATTTTAAAATAAGTGCATATATTTTAAACACTAAGAAAGCTTGAGGTATACTACCGAATAGAACTATTAAAAATATTATTAGGATCAAAATTTGGGGCAAAATACCCTTTTTCCGCCCAGATTTCTACTTCTGTCACAACTATCGTTTGCGATCCGCAGTCGACCGTGATGAACGAAGCGACGTTGCCACTCTACATGAAAATTAGGAGATATTAAATAAAATGTATAATCGAGAAAATGTACATGGGGAAGAAGTTAACCCTGGTCTTGAATTTCAGAAAGATAATACAAAAACTTTGAAATGGACTCACCCAAGATTTCAACATATAAACTCGAATAGCGTATAGCTTAACACCTCACGGTTGGAAGTTCTTTTACTGAAAAATCCTTTAGACCCTTCCTTCCACCTCCTTGCATCGCTACAATTTCGTGTCCTACGAGGAGTCTCATGGGCCCCGCACAATAACGACCCGACATAAGAACCATATCATTCATCTCAATGTTTGAGAAATGCATCGTCACATTCCAAGCAAATTGTCAGAAACAAAACTTTACATTTACTAGTCAGTGTTGTTCCTGGGTCTGATTTTTCGTAATAGATTTCCTTGGAAAAAGGTATCAGATTTGTATCAAAAGGTAATAGACTTGAAAAATCTGACATTTGACATTCGGAATGTCATTCTTGTCAAATCCTATCGCACTAATCACAGTTTTGACATAAATATAGAACATAGAACGGAACATAATTATCCGCTGAGCACAGAAATAGATTTTTTAGTATTGGAACATATTTTGGTGCTAATAGCAAATAGTAATAGATTCATGACAAACAGTAATATCGTAACAATCTTCGTGAAATAGTAATAGAACGCGAACAATCCTAGTTAGTACTGTCAAAGGTCACAGCAAAGAGGAAATCTATGGTCACAGATACTACTGTTCTGAGAAATGATGTTGACAGATCATATGATAATAGTTTTGTTTGTGTGGTTGCTGGTTTGTAAAATAATTGTAAACGTAAATTTTCAATGTGAGATTGCCAGGAAGGATATGTCGTCGTCGAGTCGTTTTCGATGGTTTAAGTGCGAATATGAACCAACAAGAACACAGGACGATATTAGTCTGGAATGGATTCGATATTAGTATTTGTTTGCTCTCGGGAGTTTTGCTGTTCGAGCAGGTATGTGAAAATCTACTAGGTGAGTCGATTTTCAACTTTGTGTATGTTGTGTACCTATTTATTGTCAGCTAATTTTGTATCTACCCGCTGGGGCCTTATTTTCGAATTGAAGGAAGGGGGACGTTCTATCATTCCCCTCATGTTTCTCTCCGTCTCTCGTGATCCATGGAGATAATCACCCCACAGTTCTCTCAGTAAACTTTAAAAAATAAGGCTCCTGTACATATTACATTCACCTCTATTAGTTTCCATAACCTATTCCAATTCATACTCATTCTGTGACAAATTTTTATCAGGATATTCGTCTCTGAAACAATCTGGCATCACTGTCTTGTTTTGACGTTATTGAATGACGAATTGGGGATTCCTTGGGATTCCGCAGATTTCACTTGCTTCCCAGTGGCGTACTCGAATTTCGAAGCATTTTATGTTCAATTTTCAAAATGAAATTTCTCGTTAATGTGAAGACTTAGGGAAAATCAAATATTTTAGTAATTTTTGTTAGACTCTCTCATATATATGTCTTGAATATATGCACTCATTTTAAAATCACCCTGTATTCATTGTGTATGTTCGTTACTCAATTGAAATATGTGAATTCTGCTATACCAATTATTTAAATTTAGCTAATTTCATTATTACAAAATTTATGTTTCATGGAAATAACTGCGACAACACGACTTGCGAGTACACCGGAATGGCAATCCTGAGGTACCCTAGCCGGATACTCATTAATCCTCAAACTTGTCTTTGGTGGTATCCTCTTCACTGTTTAGTTTTCAATCTTTTATATAGGCCTTTCTTGGCCAATTCTCCTTTTTTCCTTCTCCCCTAAAGCCCAACCTCACCATAGTGCGTGGAGGCCAAGCCGCGGCTGCTCGGCAGATTGAACATTTTGGGAACATATTTGCTCTTATTAGAGTCACTGGATGGTATTAGTTTGATAAGAGTTCGGACACATCTTAACTTTTGTCCTTTTCTATTTTCTATAATACAATGGTTTGAGTGAATAAAAGAATAAGACATATATTCTGCTCTCTATCTTTTCAATTTCCCTAGTGGCGCCTGACTGTCAGATACGATTTTAGAGGTTAGATTTTCTGTCAAATCAATCATAGCCGTAGATGGACAATGGGTTGCGTGCAAGAACTGTCAGATGACCGACACTGGAGGCAAAATATTGAAACACAACGTCACTTTTCTTATTTGTTTACAAGTGATCGAAATAGTTTTTCACAATTATTTTGGCATACGAATCGTATTTTTCCGCTATTCATCAATTCGCTCATGCCATCCATCACATTATGCTGTTGTGAAATGCACAAAAACTGCAGCGGAAGACGAAGTAATCCGGTTGGTACAATATGATTTAAAACTAAGTACCTACTATAGTCACTCACATATAGTTTTCAATTTTGAAATTTGGTAATTTCTCTGATTTCTCATAGGAATTCTTTCTGCGATAGAAGCTAATAGAAATACATCTGAAATTTCTAAAATAATGCCTGAAAATTGGATTCATGCAATCAATCGGGAGGACTGGTCTGACATGCTGACGATCGTGTGTGTTGTAGACATTTTCAATCTATTAGCAGTATTAGCTTGTATTGCAGAAGTGACAGAAGGCAGAGGGAATTTTAATAAGGAATGACAACATTTCATAATGATAACTATGTGAGATTACTATTTACCTGAAAAATCATATTCTTTAGTCTCTTCCTGCATTTTTCGTGCATT